TTCTGCACCTTGACTTTCCATTGGCTTTTATACCACAGGTGTACATAAGAATATCTGTACACCAATTCAGTCCATTAGACACTTGCAGAATACAGATGAAGGCTGAATGTGACAGCTTAAATATGCAGCTCAGGTGAAGGGATGAGCAGAAGGCACTGCTGTTGCATGTCTTTACAAAGCACCCCTAAAACAATTTGTCCAGATTTCTAATGTGAATTTGTTTTATCCGCTTAAAAAATTGCCTGAGCAGCGGACAGTCACCACATCTTGTGGAAACAAATCCCATAAATTATATAAGTCTAGTGTGAGAAAGAACTTCCTCATCTATTGCATTCGGTTACTAGATAATGCACACAAAATGCTTTGAACCCTTTGCAATGCTACACCAGCCTCCTCCAGATGTTGTTGGACTCCAACTCCTACCAGCCTGAGGCAGCCCAGCTAATGCTCAAATATTATTTGAGTTGTAGTCCAAAACTTCCAGAAGGCACCAGATTGAAGAAGACATCATTACTCAATTTTTAAATTTTAAATATTATTTTCATCCACTTCAGAACCCCTCGGCATTGCAGGAGAATCTGGGGGTAAACTCCCAAGTGCCTAGTCAGTTCAGCATGCAGAAAACTAGTCTTCCACAACACTATCTTATGTATGTCTGGCGTGGGAAACCTCTGGCCCTCCAGATGTTGCTGAACAACAATACCTTTCATCCCTGGGCTTTGGCTATGGTGGCTGTCAATCAAGAGTGCACTTAAAAACACAACCACTCTACTGTGGCTGCACCTTGCAGAGAAAGACTGGTAGTAATGAGCAAGCTGAGTCATAACACTACTAATGTTCTCAGTTTGGGGAAGTGGAAAAGCTGTAAAACATCTGCTTTGCATGCTGATGGTCCCATAGGAGCTCAGAGTAGGGCTGGGAATGTCCCCTGTCTGCAGAGGCGTAGCAAGGTCAGGTGGTACCTGGTGCAGATTTTTTTTCTCACTCCCCCAGTCGCCGAAGGCACCTTTGTGCCTTGCCAGCAATGTCCGGCCAAGCGAGCAACAGCTGCAGTGGTGGGACCTTGGGAGTTCCCCTTGTTCTGGAGCTCCCTAGGGAGTGCCTCAGCTGCTAGAAAAGCCAAGGGGGCAAGGGCGGCGGCGGCGGGGGGGGTGTTGTCCAATGGCATCCGCCCTCTCTCCAACCTTAAACCGCAGCCCCCTCCTTCCACATGCCATCATCGCCTCCCCTCCGTGCCCTCCAGGACCTCCCTTCCAGTAGCAAAGGGATACCCAAGGCGACAGACACTTTGAACCGGCAGCATTCAGGTGTGACTGTGAAAGGAGGAGAAGCCTGTCTGGGGAGAACCTAAGAGACACCACCCAATCACCCACCGGAGAATCTAGCCTAGGACTGGCAGGAGGTGGGGTGCGTGGTAAAGTTCTTTAGCTGCAGAGGCAGACCTTACTGTCAAACCCAAGTCTAGCAGCAACCGGCATGACGCTTCCGGTTTTGTGTGGTGTATTGTGTGTTTGTGTGTGTGTGTGTGTGTGCGCTTGCTTGCTTGCTTGCTTGCTTGCTTGCTTGGAGAAGCTCCAAATGAACTGTCTTGGGCTTTTTTCTTGCTCAAAGGGAAGTGGGCCCTTGGTGGTTTCCAGGGGAAAGATGAAGGGATGGAACACACTGGAGTTCCATTGATTTCAGCGAAAACTCAAGTCATGCCTAACATGCCCCAGTGGTTTTAATGGGACCGCAAGTCCACCCCCCCCTTCTTCTGTTTTCCCCCTCAGCCAGGACACACAACAGAGACTGGAGGTGGGGAGAAATATGAATTTCGACGAGGGAAAGGCAATGGGGCAGATTTGTCAGGCACGTGCAGGCAGAGCTTGAAGACTTTACACAGAGAGGAACCTCATGTCGTTTCCCCACACATCATGTAACAGGCAGGGAGCCAGCTCAGATAGAGAGAAAGACAGCAACCATTTTATTCCCCTTTTAAGCACCTGCCAAGATCTCCTCTGCGTTTGCAGCACCGACCCTTTAAATTCACTTGATAGTCCAGCTGTAAGCGCTGGTCTTCCAGGCAGAATGAAAGGTGCACCCACCGATCTCGCTTCCTTCCTCTGCCCTTCCCACCCTCCTCCATTGTCTGCTCGCCTGCCTCTTTCCCGTCCTCTCCCCTGCTGGCCAGCTAGCCTACCTCCTCCAGCCGGGAGCATGGGGCAATGGTACACTGCCCACCCGTGACTCCCAACTTCCCAAGCCTACCCTGAGCCTTTGAGGGAAGGGGGGAGCTGTGCCGCTTTGCTGAAGGCCGCCGGCAAAGTGGTGCAGCTCACCCCTTGCCCTGACAGCTCGGCATAGGCTTGGAAGGTTGGGAGTCGCAGGCGGGTGGTGCACCGAATGTCACCCCTCCCTCAGGATGACACCCAGGGCAGACTGCCCCCACCGCACCCCCTTCCTCCACCACTGCCTGTCTGAGACCCTCCTGGAAAGCTGCCGCCAATCAGTGAGCTTCCCAGGCAGCTTCCCAGGTTCCTAATTCTACGGGTGCTGGTCCTTTCAAAGTCAACACTACATCATCTGTCCACAAGATGGAGGGGGGAAGGGAAAAAACCAACGGGGGTGGGAACTCTCCCAAAAGCAGCCCAATTAATATAGAGCATGCTCAGTGAGAATGACTGAACCCTCAGTGACACTGACAAAATTAAATAGCTGCTGTCTTGCTCGGTTGAACCAGTCATGCTCAATACAGCAAAGTTTGCAATAAAAGCCTCCCAAAAGCCCCTGAGTCCAACCTTGTGCACTGAGATAAGTGTCACCTGCATATACATGTCCTATGTATTATAAGGTTTTTATCACATATGTTTTTATATGCTTCTGAGATTGTTTGATTAACACTTTCCTTTTTGGCTATAACCTGTATTTGGTTGACCAATAAAAAAATGTTGTTGTTGACTACTGGGGCAAAAGAAGGGGGGGTGGAAACCAGGGGGGAGGAAGGATAGAACAGAATGTCTTGAAAAGGAGCCCTCCATGCTGCAACCTTTTGTTGCAGCTCCCACTTGGCATTGCAGATACCCTCTTAACGCACAGCAATGTGACAAAATCAGCCTTGCTGCACACACTGATGATATATAGATAACCTCTGCTAGGCAGGAGTGAGCGAAATTCCCCATTTGAGCATCTGAAGGTGCTCTCCCAGGGAAGCCGGTCCACAGTGACTGATGTTCAGCGATCCCCAGATCAACTTCCAAGGAACTCTAGGGCTCCCTGGAACACAGTTTGAAAACCACGGCCAAAGGCTTGGCAGGCCCTCCAGGCCTGCTGCCCATGTATTTGTTACTTAATCATAGCTAGCTGGGAGGACTGGGAATCCCTGAGTTGGTAGCGGCTCTGTCGCTGCTGCTCAGAAGAATGCCGGCTGATTGCTGCATCTGAAGGGGAATGCTAAATGAGTCACTTAAGTGCTTGCTTCCAGGCTCCGCTGAGGGACTCTTTCAGATTTCCACTGAGGAAATGCTGTCATGTGCATCAGCTTGCAGGCTGAGTACCTCTCTCACACACAAGCACAACTCCATTGGTCACACATCTCCTTGGCAGCGTCTGTCCTTGTAGGCATTTATTTCCCCTCTGGGCAAGCCTTCAATGGCCTTTTCATGCGATGGCAAAATCTAAAAGGCCAGCTCCTCCATCTCCCTGAAGTGGGGATTTCAGCCCTGCTTTAAGATCATCTGCTCCATCCTTGCCCTTGTTTTGAGCATCTTTTTACACCGTGACTTTCCCGCAGATGGAGGCAGTAATGTTTCCGAATGCCGGGGGTGGTGGGGTGCTTTTGGACTCAGGTCCTGTTTGCAAGTTTCCCATTATCTGGTTGGCCATGGTGATAACAGGATGTTGGACTAGATGGACCATTGGCCTGATCCAGCAGGTTATAAGAAAAACTGCTCCCTTTCCCTTATGGGGTATCCCAGAGCCCATATAGCAGGCTTCCTCAACCTCGGCCCTCCAGATGTTTTGAGACTACAATTCCCAGCATCCCTGACCACTGGTCCTGCTAGCTAGGGATCATGGGAGTTGTAGGCCAAAACCATCTGGAGGGCCGAGGTTGAGGAAGCCTGCCATATAGAGTCCTTAAATGGGTTCCTTATCGGTAGGAGAAAACAGAGGCCAGCCAGGGTATATTGAGAAACAAAGCGGCTAGTAAGCCTGATCTTTATTAAAGGAACTGTTGGAACAGGGTCCCCACTCACCACACACAGGAGGGAGGAGAACCCTGAACAATGGTGCACAAGCCCATATATAGACTTTTGAAATTGCCCACCCTGTAGTCCAAGACCACCACCCCAAAAAAACATCATACATACATCACAGAAGGAGGCGGTCTACAGCAGAAAACTTGCCTGCCAGGATACCTGTTCATGGTTACTGATTGCATTGTCTGGGCAGTCTGGCCATTCTTTTGTGATGGTCAATTCTTCAGTTCCTGAATCCAGGTCACAGGCTCACCCTATTTATACACAAATACGCCCTTAAGACAGGATTTGCAAGCAAAAAGACAAGGGGAAGGCTTTCCCCATTTGCCTCCCTTACTGCAGAGGAATATTTGAAGTCATTGGGAGAGTAAAAATGGCTTCAGGATTGTTCTCCCATACTATTTCAGACACATGGTTCAAATATTTGTGTGTATTTATGAATATTTGTGTGTATTTATGAATATATTTGAGACCTTAAAATTATTATAACATGTTCTTACGACTTCCTGGGTAAAGGGAGTGAATTGCGGGTAGATGAGAGAACTAAAGGTGCCCAACAAATTGGGAAAGTAAGAGAATTATTTGGCATGGAACAGAGATAGGGACACTGTGGCCTTGCAGAATCTGACTCCCATCCACCCCAGCCAGCAGGGGACAATAGGAGCTGTAATCCAGCAAGGGTGAAGGGCTACAAGTTAGCCATCCCTGTTTCAGAATCTCAAGATTAGAAGGCTGGGATTCCACCCCCTCACTTCTGTTTTTGACACAGAGATGGCAGAATTATGCCCTGGCTACAAGTTGTTTACCTTTCAATAAGGCCTGGAGACATATTCTTGTATCCAGCAAAGCCTGGAAAGTCCAGAGTTTGGTGGGAGCCAATTCAGGCAAATGCAAACAATATAAAACAGGCTGCAGAAGGGACTTTACAGGACAGGTTTCGCTTTCCCTTAGCAACATCAGATGACCCATGACTCATCTCACAACAGCCCCCAGAGAGGTGAGCACACCCTCAAAAGGTTTTCCCTCCACCAATGGGATTGGGCAGTTGAAGTTCCTCTTTTCTTTTTCTTTTTCTTTTTGCTGCCTCCTCCCCTGCTTTGCCTGCCCTCTTTGAAAACCTCCAGAAAAGAAAAGGAATTGAGAAAGAGAGAAGCAAGCAGAGGAGCTGGGAAGACACAAATCAGGTAAGGCACAACTTTTTGGGACCTCTAGAGGGGCATCTCTTAGGTAGGCTCTCATATCATCGCTGTTTTGCTTTTTCGTGGGTGCAGTTCGGTCCTCTCCTGGCAAATTCATCTTGTGCAGCTGAAGTGGGTTTGGTGCTCTTGTGCAGCAAACACATCCCCCCCCCCCGCCAGAAAAAAAGAGGACTCTTCTCCTGTATGAACTCTATAAGAAATTGTGTGGGGAAAAGTGTGAGGCAACCATTGCTATACAGGATATATAACCTTCACGCAAACAAATCAGAATAAATGCTCAAAAAACAGGTCATTTGGAAGCAACCTTTGGAGAAAGCTCAGGGCCCATACCAGTATTCTGTCAGAAATGGTCCCATCCCTGACTTTTATTTGACATACCCACCCCTCCCCAAGCACTGCTTGTCATAAATAGTAACTGGATAGCTCAGTCGGTAGAGCATGAGACTCTTAATCTCAGGATCATCCCATATTGTGAAAAAGGTTCCTGCCTTGCCCAGGTTTGAACTATTTGACCCTCTTGGTCCCTTCCAATTCAATGATTAACACAGGGCAAATAGCACCAGGGACAGGCTGGTTTTTCAAGAGAAAAATGTCACAGGCCCTCAATCCTAATTGGAAACAGGCTCCATGTTAGGCACCCAGGCTGTTTTTCTCTCTAAAATGAAAGTGGCCGGGTGAACATACCTCATTTGTAGCTTGACCATTAGGATTTTGCAACAAAAACAATACCATATATATGGGTGTTCCATGTCCCACTGCTGTTGTGAATGGTGATTATTTTGCATGCATTTTATTTATATTTTGATAAATATGATGTCAATAGGTTTTTAACTTTTGATTTTATTGCTATTTTAATGATTTTTGTATTCTGGAAGTTTTTGTTCATTAAACAGTATATAAATCTTGTGAGACAAATACATTTCAGGTTTTTAAAAAATAAATACTTTATTAGAAAAGAAAGAAGAAATTACACACAAAACAAACTTAAAGAACCAGACATATTTACCATAAGAAATGTTATCTAATGAAAACCTTAGATATATTGAAATATAATAAGAACATAGGAAGAATCCTCCTGGGTCAGGCCAAAGGCCACTCTTGTCATAGAATATATAGAATTGTAGCGTTGAAAGGGACCTTGAGTGCCATCTAGTCCAACCCCCCGCAATGCAGAAATCTCAACTAAAGTATCCATGACAGAAGGCCATCCAACCGCTGTTTAAAAACCTCTAAGAAAGGAGACTCCACAACCTCCTGAGGGAGACCGTTCCATTGTCAGAAAATATTTTCTGATGTTTAGTTGAAATCTCCTTTCTTGTAATTTGAATCCACTGGTTCGAGTCCTACCCTCCAGAGCAGGAGAAAACAAGTTTGTTCCATCCTCCATATGACAGCCGTTAAGTTATTTGAAGATAGCTATCAGATCTCCTCTCAGTCTCCTCTTTTCCAGGCTAAACATACCCAGCTCCTTCAACCGTTCCTCATAAAGTTTGTTTCCAGACTTTTGATCATCTTGTTGCCCTCCTCTGCACACGTTCCAGCTTGTCAACACCCTTCTTAAACTGTGGCGCCCAGAACAAGACACCATATTCCAGATGTGATCTGGCCAAGGCAGAACAGAGTGCAAAATAGTCTCTCATCCAAGGCAGAATAGTCCAGCATCCTCTTCTCACAGTGGCCAACCAAATACCAGCAGGAAGCCCACAAGCATAAAGACCTCTTTTAAAAACCTACATTGACATTTTAGCATAGAAGCGGGCAAAAAAGAAACACGAGGCAATTTTCTTGAGGTGAACTGAAGTCCACAAAAACTTTATAAATGTGTTTTGTTTATTAGAGGCTACATGACATGTGTGTTGTTTTTCAGGGCTGTGCATGTAAGTGGCCTTTCCCTTTCTCCAGGATGGCACTTTGGCTTTGGCCTCTCCTGATTTTCCTGAGGGCAGAAGATGCAGGAGCCCAGGATCCAGTCAGCTTCAAGGCCTGTAAGAGGGATCCTGGCGAGAAAGTGCTGGAGGTGCTGCCAGGGGGTGGCTGGGACAACTTGCGCAACATAGAGATGGGAATGGTGATGAGTCTCAACTACTCCCAGTGCCGGACCACAGAAGATGGCGAATACCTCATTCCCAACGATGTCTTTGTGCTGCCCCTCAAGAAGAGCACAGTGGAACTGCACTCTGAGATCATTCAGGACTGGCAAAACTACACGGATGCCTTTGCCCAGTCTGTCAACACTGACATTTCCTTCCTTCCGGTGCTTAACGGAAAGTTCTCGGATGGCTCCCAGGAGACCAAGGTGCACAATGTCTATGACGAGACAGTCACCACACGGGTGCAGGTCCGGTACCACATCTACTCCGTCAAAGCTCTCCCGTCCATGGCTTTCCACAAGGAGTTTCGCCGTCAGCTTGTGAACATAGGCAACCACCTAGAGAACAAGCAGAGACGGTCTGCCGAGTACCTCGCAGAGCTGCTGGTGCTCAACTACGGCACACACGTCCTCACAGATTTGGAAGCTGGAGCCAGCCTGATACAGGAGGACCAGGTGAAGCGCAAATTTCTGTTGGAAAAGGCCTCAGAGAAAGCAGGCATCACTGCCTCAGCATCAGTGACGTTTTTCAGCAAGGTGAACGTGGGAATGGGCTTCTCCTCACAGGTCTGGGATAATCTGACTAAGAGCTACATCGACAACACGGTGGATTCCAAGATGGAGGGCTGGGGCAGTGTGCCCTTCTACCCTGGCATCACCCTCCAGAAGTGGCAGGAAGGCATCCCTAACAGCTTAGTGGCTATAGGCAAGTCTGGGAGGCCTCTGCCATTCTTCATCACTCCCGAAGCTTTGCCAGAACTGCCCGAGCCTACCGTTCGGCGAGTGGCCACTGTGGTGGAAAAGGCCATCCTCCTCTATTATGCTGTCAACACCCACCCAGGCTGCCTCAAGCCCGAGTCCAGTAACTTCAACTTCCAGGCCAACGTAGATGACGGGTCGTGCCAAAACCCCAACACGAACTTCACCTTTGGGGGAGTCTTCCAGGAATGCCACAGTGTGTCTGGCAGGGATGCCGAGGAGCTCTGCCAGGCCTACCGGATAAAGAACCCGCTGACAGGCAGCTCTTCTTGCCCAGCTAACTTCTCTGCTGCCCTTCTGCACGGCGAGCAACGCACCGCCAGCAAGCCCAAGACGGAGTGCCACCAGCAGTGCCACACCTGCTACCTTTTCTTCTCCTGCTGCGATACCGTTTGCGGCATCCGCTACTATCCCAGTACGGTGAAGTTTAATGCCTACTGGTGTGCTGCCACGGGCCCCGTCCCCCAAAATTCAGGTTTTCTCTTTGGAGGACTGTACACTACTGGGAACGAGAACCCGGTTACCAAGACCCGTGCCTGCCCGGCCTACTTCTTCCCCCTGGTGCTGTTTGATAATCTGAAGGTGTGTGTCAGCAGCGACTATGAGATGGGATCTCGGTTTGCGGTGCCCTTTGGGGGCTTCTTTAGCTGCCAGTCTGGCAATCCTTTGGCTGGATTACTGAAGGGGCAGAGCCCTGGGGTCCTCCAGGATTTTTTCTACCAGGACTCCCCTACCAAATACCCCATGAAATGCCCTGCTGGGCATAGCCAACACAAGGCCTACTTGAGCGATGGCTGCCAAATCCTCTATTGCTTGCAGGCCGGGACCCTTTTTGCCCAGCAGCTAGCCCCCCTCAAGCTCCCACCCTTCTTGCGTTCTCCCTCCACAAATTCCAGCCTTCCCGACACCATCCTGGTGCAGTCTGACGGGAGCCAAGCCTGGGTGAAAACACATGACAGCGGGAGCTGGAGGCTGGCCAATGCCACTGATAAGAAAGAGATAGCTCTGCTTTTGGACGGGCAGGATCATTCCAAACTCTCAGGGGGCTCCATCGCTGTAATCACAATAACAGTCATTGCTGCTTTGGCCATTACCATGGCTATCGCAGTTTACAAAATCCGGCACTTTAAAAGCAGAGGATACCAGGAGCTGTCAAATGAACGTCTAGTACAGGATGAAGTAAACTACGGAGCCGCAGAAACTACTCCAGATCTCAGTGCTGCCTGAGGCAGCTTTTTACCTGGGCTCCAGAAATAAGACATGCGCTTTCATTGGGGAGTAGGTGCACAGGTAACAGGGGCAGAATCATGACTGGTGGGTGAAAGCAAGCATTAGCATGGATGTGGAGCCCTCATCCCACAATAAACACCTACCTGAAAGCACATTGCTTTGTGTGGATTGTAAAGATACATTTGATATTACAAAGAGCAGCAAGGGAACCTCTAAACATTGCTGGACTACCAACTTCCATCAGAGCCAGGCAGCAGGACCAATGGGCAAACGGGGTGGAAAAGAAGAGAAAAAACACCAAACAGGGACGTCACAGGCTCTGCCATCCCTCTGTGAAGAATGGGCAAGGCAAAGCCCTGAGCAGAAACAACATTATAAGGGCCTTGTCAGGTTACTGAGCCTTTTATATATCAGGCTGTTTGACCGTGCTTATGCTGCTTCACTCTCTGGTTGATGTGGGGGTTTTATACTGGATTTGTTCATATAATTCTATAGCGCTTCGCCTCAGTTTTTAAACCAAGCAGTTCATCGTCTCCTAGTACTCTGTTATGAAGTAATGCAACAAATGCACACAAAGCACCCCTCGGGCAGCCACCCAAAGCTTCTTTTCCTAATGAAATACATTCCAAGGTTTTAAAAAAAGACTTTTACAACTTGTGTGACTGCTTGTTTTATTAGCGTATTCCTATCTTTGTGCTAATTCGTGGTGTTGGGAGGAGGGGGCTATTGATTTGGAAGAGGATATTGCATTGCTCAACACCCCTGCTTGTTCCAGATGAGCAATCCTATCCTTATATCATGGCAAAAACAGTGTTTTGTGGCGCCTTAAAGACTAACAGATTTATCACAGCTTAAGCATTTTTGTTGCCTAAAGCCCACTTCATCAGATACATCTGCATTCTAATCCATGAAAAATTATTCCACAATAAACCCATTTGGGCTGAATCCAATGCAGCTGTTCCACTTGCGCAATGGACCTTCCCACTCCTCTTCATGGGCCTAGCCGGGATTTTTGTTGGGGGGTGCTGGAGTTAGTTAGGGGGGACAGGACTTTCGTTAGGTGGGGAGAACCGATGTGATTGGTCAGTTGGTTAAGTATTTCTATTGTTTTACTTGATAGGGGGGCACCTGCCCCCCAGCCCCCCCGGCTATGCTCATGCTCCTCTTTACTCCCCTGCAGCCCCAAAACCTGGTTGAGGGTTGTGGGGGGAGGGGCCACCTGGAGCAAATTTGGGGGGGCATGCGAAGAGAGAATGGGGACATTCTGATGCTCAAGCAGAATGCCACCCATGTAGAATTAGTCTTTAAGGTGCCACAAGCCCCAACCTATATTAGGGATGCTGAAATTAATTCTTGGGAGCTTCAAGACAAATATGCTGGAGTGCATTATAGAATACCCCTCCGCAAGGAGCTGGACTTTCAGGAGTCATTACTTCTATATCCAACCCTTATCCAAGGAATTCAGGTAAGCAAACGTGCTGTCATCTCTTATCCTCACGACACCTCATTTGGTAGATTAGACTGAGAGAACAGCCCTCTTTTGTAGTTCTTCTCCTACCCCCCCCATCACCACTTGAGCCAGACAACAGCAATGAGTGTATTAACCCTGCTTGCTCTGTCATGTCATCCATCTCCCCTCTTCCACCCCACCCCACCCCTGTCACTAGCTTCAACACTTTCTAGGGCCTGGGAGGGGGACTTCTGCAAAGGGGATCCTATTGAAAGAGCCAGTGTGGTGTATTGGCTGACGTATTGGACTATGACCTGGGTTCGAATCCCCACTCAGCCATGAAGCTTGCTGGGCTACCTTGGGCCAAGTCACTGCCTCTCAGCCTAACCGGCCTCTCAGGGTTGTTGTGCCGATAAAGTGGAGAAGGGAGAATCATGTGCATCACCTTGAGTTCCTTGGAGGAAAAGGTAGTATATAAATTCAATCAGTGAATTAAATGCTGTACTTGTGTTATCAAATCATACGACTCCCTGTACAATGGAAAATCCTGATCTTTCAGGGTTCTAAATTACACAGTGACCGTAACACAGGTGGAGAAGTGCCCCTCACTCAGAGAGGTTTCCATTCCAACACGTGGATGGAGGCCAATGTCTGCCTCTTGCCTGCTCTGCCTTTCACTGCAGGAGGCTGAAGGCCAAGACCACCCACTAAATTCTATAGCCCAGCAGAGATTTCAACACAGGTATTGCTGGTGCTGTCCAATAGCCTGCCCACTGCATCACACCCTCTCTGAGAATATTTTGGAGCAACCAAAAAAAGAGTCTGAGGCTACAATCCTATGCATACACACCTGGGAGTAAAATGCATTGAACCCAGTGGGACTTGTACCTGAATAAATATGGCATCACAGCAGGAACACAGAAAGCTGCCTCATAGGGAGCCAGATCATTGGCCCATCTCGGTGTCGCCTACACTGACTGACAATGGCTGTCCAGAATTTTCAGTGCGCTCTCAGCATAGCTGTCAATGTTTCCCTTTTTTAAAGGAGGGAAATTCCCTTATTCCGAATAGGATTCCTCGCAAGAAAAGGGGAAAGTTGACAGCTATGGCTCTCAGTTGCCCCTGAAGGTGCCAGGGATGGAACCAGGGACCTTCTTCTTCATGCCAAACCTCAGCTACTGCGCTGCAGCCCTTTCTCCTGCCTCGGGATTGGGCTGGAAATCGTACTTGTACAGACAAGCTTGCAGTTTCATACACTGCCGAGAATAAACCTGCGCCTGTCCTACTCAGACTGCAGAGTAAGGATGCATGAGCTGCCCTCTCATCCTATTAGAGGATAGGAAGATTGCACAACGGTGGAGCAGACAATGTACAGGCACATGACCCTTTTGGCGAGTCGGCACACGTCGAGTCACTCCTCGTGGCAGCTGCTCTTGCTCCAGATGAAGCAGCTGCTTGCTGCCTTCACCAGGAGCCAAAGTCACGGGTGGGCGGGGCTTCCGATGGGAACTTTTCAGAATTCAGTTCAAAACACATTTGTTTGCAATCTGATCTTCCTGTGTCGCGCTGCCAAGCACTGCATCATGGACAAAACCGCAGTGCCCCCTCCTTTTCTCTCCCCACCCTGGAATCTACACTCTTTGGGGGCAGAGATGTGTCTTTTTTGCCCATATAACTCCGTTAAGCACCATCCACACTACAGACACTAAATAATAATCTCTCTTGTTCTTATTGAGTTAATACCCAAGATCAAAAAGGGGCCACGTGATTGTACCCCAGTGTGTATTAGAAAACCACTGTGAACTCAGCCAGCCTTCACTTGAAGTGCTGGGCACCTTCCTGGAGAATTGTCTGAAATAAATACTTATGCCTCATATTTTTAAAAGTGTTTTCCCAAAGGGCAGATCTACATTATTCACCACATATTTAAAGCACATTACTCCTTCCCAGCACCTGCAAATCCTGTGAACTGTAGTTTAAGGGTGCTGGGAATTGTAGTTCTGTGAGAGGTAAAATACAGGTCCCAGGATCCTTGAGGGGGGAAGAACCATGTACAGCCATACCTTGGAAGTCGAATGGAATCCATTCTGGAAGTCCTTTCGACTTCCAAAACATTCAAAAACCAACTTGTGGCTTCTGATTCCTGCAGCCAATCAGGAGCTGCGGAAGCCCCGTCGGACGTTCGGGTTCCAAAAGAACGTTCGCAAACTGAAACAATCACTTCCAGGTTTGCGGCCTTCGGGAGCCAAAATGTCCAAGTTCCAGGGCATTTGGGATCCAAGATACAACTGTACAGCGGTACCTCTGGTTGCAAACGGGATCCGTTCCAGAGGCCCGTTCGCAACCTGAAAAGGGTTGTGATTCGCCACTTCTGCGCATGCGCATGATGTCATTTTGCCCATCTGCGCATGCGCGAGTGGCAAAACCTGGAAGTAACCCTTTCCGGTACTTCCGGGTTGCCACAGGACGCAACCTGAAAACATGCAACCTGAAGCAAACATAACATGAGGTATGACTGTACTTTAAATGAGCACTGAAAGTGTACAGTGGTACCTTGGGTTAAGCACTTAATTCGTTCCGGAGGTCTGTTCTTAACCTGAAGCACCACTTTAGCTAATGGGGCCTCCCGCTGCCGCTGCACTGCCAGAACACGATTTCTGTTCTCATCCTGAAGCAAAGTTCTTAACCCGAGGTACTGTTTATGGGTTAGCAGAGTTTGTAACCTGAAGCGTATGTAACCTGAAACGTATGTAACCAGAGGTACCACTGTATATTATTTACACTCAAAGTACTTTAGGGGGAATGGCCAGAGCCCATTTTATAGAAACACAGGACAACACAAAACATCAGAATACAGCTTGACAACAATATGAGAGTTTCCCATTAAACGCTGAGCAAACCGCCAGGCATGGCAACTGCAGGAAAAGGGACAGGAATGTAGTGTAAAAGATTTTAACTCCACAGTGGTCCTTTTTCCAAATTCTATATGAAGACCAGAATCAAAACCATGCTGAACCGCTCTCCCTAACAGGGGCTTTGGTGCCCAAGACTGGTCTGCTAGTTTTGATACCTCTGTGGACACCTAGGTTTGCCTATTCATAAAATGGGGAGTTGGTGACTAAATTGGTAATCTGTAATCAACCATCAAAAAGAAAAAATAACCTATTTCTTGTACATCAGACAAGAGAGCTGTGTCTCACTTAATGGTTGTGTTAAGAACATGACGCAAGATGAGCCAGCAGGATGAGGCCAATGGTCCAGCTTCCTGTCCTCACAGCACCTGTGGGAAGAAGTCTGCAAGCAGGACATGAGCACAGCAGCTCTCTGTCTACCTGTGATTTCCCGCAACTGCTACCCAAAGGGATGTGTTGTTTGGCCAGGCAGGCACCAGCGCCATCAGAGGGAGCAATGAAAGGCAACTGAGAGTGATGTTTTGAAGGTCATCCTGTAAGCAGGATTCAAGGACCAAGATGAATAGAAAAGAGCCAGTTTAATTAAGTCAGACTCTTACCATGGGAACATTCCCAAGCTAATCAGGTCTGAACTAATGCTATGTTATTTTCGAAAATTGCCAAGTTCACCAATGGGAGATTTCTTTCATTGGTTTACCGCAAGTCTCAGGAAAAGCTTCATTGAACACTTGGTTCAGCCTCAGTGTTTATTTCTGCTCAGTTTCAAATCAGTCATGGGTTTCATACTCTGGTTACTAAAGAGAGAGGGAGGGAGATGGAAGGAGACAGTGTCACTTACAGCGTGACCAGGAGTCAATACATAAACCACAAGATCTCAAGTATCGCTGTGCATTGTCTGCTCTGACTCAAGGGGCTGGTTGTGAGGCATTATGCTGCCCCACAGAAAGCTGACTGGAGAAAAGTTCACAGTATACGGCAGGTTGTCCCCCCCCCCATACTTCCCTGAACTCCTAACCCCTAAGAACAGGGGCCAGCAAACTTTTTCAGCAAGGGGCCGGTCTACTGTCCCTCAGACCTTGTGGGGGGCCAGACTATATTTTTGGGGGGGGAAATGAATGAATTCCTCTGCCCCACAAAAAGCACACATTCTACTCATGTAAAAACACCAGGCAGGCCCCACAAATAACCCAGAGATGCATTTTAAATAAAAGGACACATTTTACTCATGTAAAAACACGCTGATTCCCGGACCATCTGCAGGCCAGATTTAGACGGCGATTGGGTCGGATCCAGCCCCCGGGCCTTAGTTTGCCTACCCATGCCTAAGAACAATGACAGGGTGCAGCTTTAACACATTTCTTCCTCCTCCCTTCCCTTGGCCACGTACAATGCATGTGCCCCACAGCAAGATGTTATAAATACTCACCCTTCACATTTTATTCCCACACCTCCATGGTGTGGATCCACTGATGTTCACTGCCTTGAGCAGTCAGTTTTCAGAATGGAAAGGTGGTGAAAATCTCATAGGGAAATGGTGATTTAGTTTATTATTACTACAGCTCAAGGTGGTGTAATGCTTCTCCCCCTCTTCATTTTATCATCGCAGTCATCACAGTTACTTGGAGATTTCAAAGCTGCTCTCCCAAGTCCTAGTATGACACTAAGAAGTGTTCTGGAGTGTATTATCACCATCATTAATATACAGTGGTACCTTGGTTCTCAAACTTAATCCGCTCTGGAAGTTCATTCCAAAACCAAAGCATTCCAAACCAAGGCGTGCTTTCCCACAGAAAGTAATGCAAAATGGATGAATCCATTCCAGGCTTTTAAAAACAACCCCTAAAACAGCAATATAACATGAATTTTACTATCTAACGAGACCATTGATCCATAAAATGAAAGCAATAAACAATGTACTGCAGTCACACAATCAATCAATCAATCAATCAATCAGTAGCTGAACTGGGTTCCACACAGTCACAAAAACAAAACAAAAAAGCTGCAAAAACAAAAACACAAAATAACTAGCAAAAACATATAGACCTCAGCATAACACTCAAAACAGAGCACATTCAGCTTCCAAAAAAGTTCGCAAACCAGAATACTTACTTCTGGGTTTGCAGTGTTGGGGTTCCAAGTTGTTTGAGTACCAAGGCATTTGAGAACCAAGATACCACTGTACTGTTATTCATCCACAGGGTTTAGCTTCCAGTTGACTCCTCCCTTATTTAGCCAACAACAACTGGAAGGAATAACTTGTACTGCAAGCTCTCAGCCCCAAATCTACCTGTCCAGCCTCCCAAAAGAATGCCCACATGAGAAACTGCACTATAGGACATGTGATCTTGTCTTCTCTTCCATCCTATGACTCACTATGAGGGCAACCAAGCTGATTCAGAAATGTTGATAATTGGGAGCAGGAGTTGTGACTGGAGATAAAATCCTGAGCAATGAGATTCCTTGGTTATGCTTGAGATTGGAACAAAGCACCCAGGAAACACTGGCCCAAAGTGCTGCTGTTTTACGATGGGCAAAATTCCACAGGCAGAAGAGGCTAATTTGTGCATTTTCCTATAGCTGCACTCTGCTGGCAGCAAGAAGACCGGCTCCACTAATTTCTCGACCCAACGCCCACAGAAGATTCATCCTGAAATAGTGGCACAACTTTAAAATGCAGACTATTTGAATAATCACCCCAAATACAAAGAGCAAGACCAGAACAATATCCTGTTAAAAAATAAATCAACTTTATTTAATCAAATTATTTTAACACACTTTGGTGCAATCAATAATTAGGGCTCTCACACAATTAAACAAATCTTTAATCACATCAGTTTGGTGAGTAATCCATTAATTGGTTAAATTTACAAATGGGTAGCATATAGTAAGCATACTTTGTTTACAGATTAGGGTAGGGAGCCTGTGGCTTTCCAAATGTGCTGAACTACAACCCCCATTCTCCCTGACCATTGGCCATGCTGGCTGGGGCTGATGGGAGATGGAGTCAAAAATCATCTGGAGAGCTACAGGTTCCCCCAGCCACCTTTTAGATGATGCATGTGCTTTAGACACCATGTTCTTAGGAGACACATTCTCTCCCATGTGGGAGAGATGAGGAGGGAAATGCTTCTCCTAAGACTGCACTTGCCATCTAAAGTTTTTCTAATTACTTATATTAAAATGTATGCTCTATAAAATCTGCCCAAGTAACTGTGGGACACGTTTAGTTGATCAAAATTTTCAACCAATTACATATCGCAACCCTCTTAATAATGTTATATTCTTTTTCTAGATGCAGAAAGCCTTCTTGCAACAAGTGAGATCACAACTGGGAAGCAACTGTGATATTTTCACTCTGCTTCCAAGTTAGAAAACTCAAAATTTTATTATGGGAGGCATTTCTTCAAAATTCACAATATAAAATAAGGAAGCACCTCCGATAATTATAGATTTCATACATTTCTAAAGGTATTTTTTTAAAAAAACTTGCTAGAAGAAACATTTCACATTTTAAAATATAGCATAAATATAAATATTCAAGTTAGAAACAGCACAATAGATAAAGGTGACCTTTAGTGGGAAATTGAATTGTGCCTTTCATATATATTTCGCTAATTTCCTCTTTCCATGCAATCCCTGCCAGATCTGATCCAGAGGCTGGGGGGACTCTCTAGAACAGCACGGGAACTTGCACTGGGGAATAGGGAAATTAACAAAAATCACTCCCCTTGCTAGATCAAGTCACTTTTAGGAACAGAAAGTGCCCATCTATTCATACGTAGAATGCTAAGTCTGAATCCTAGTCAATGAAAGAGCACTATTTTCTCTCTATATAAAAAATAGGTCATAGCCTTCAGAGGAGCTCCTTCAAAATATGGATTATGGAAATATGAATTGGTCTAACCCAGCCTTCTGCAGCTTGGTGCCCTCCAGATGTTTGTGATGGGACTCCTGTTCTCATCATTCCCTGCTAGCATCACCAAGCCAATGGTCAGGGATGCTGGCGGCTAAGGCTGGCAACATCTGGAGGACATCATATAGGGGAAGGCTAGTCTAACCTCTCCAAGCATTACCTGTCCTTTGACATTCACTCCCCATGTGTGAAAAGCAGCAGAAGCAAAACACCCCACCCAACACACCTTTACAGGAAAGATAAGGGGGCATTTGCCACAAGTGCTGAATTTTACACAGAATCTGGAATTGGAATTTTACCTTTATTCAGCGGAAGTCGTATTTGGGAAAGAAAAAAAGCCCAACTTTATTCAGCAGAAGTAGACAGGGTTTTTTAAAGTCCAGTATTCAGAGAATGAAGGGACGTGGGTGGCGCTGTGGGTTAAACCACAGAGCCTAGGACTTGCCGATCAGAAGGTCAGCGGTTCAAATCCCCGCAAACGGGGTGAGCTCCCGTTACTCAGTCCCTGCTCCTGCCAACCTAGCAGTTCGAAAGCACGTCAAAGTGCAAGTAGATAAATAGGTACCACTCCAGCGGGAAGGTAAACAGTGTTTCCATGCGTGGCTCTGGTTCGCCAGAAGTAGCTTAGTCAAGCTGGCCACATGACCTGGAAGCTGTACGCGGGCTCCCTTGGCCAATAAAGCGAGATGAGCGCCGCAACCCCAGAGTCGGTCACGACTGGACCTAATGGTCAGGGGTCCCTTTACCTTTACCTTTATTCAGAGAATGAGCTTCTGTGTGACCTGGCTCTCCTTCATAACCTTCCCAGCCCAATCCTGAGTATGTTTAAACAGAAGTAAATCCTACTGATTTCAATGGTGATCATTCCCTAGAAAGAATGCAAAGGACTCTAGTCACGTTCCCCTTCCCACAGACATTCTGTTGCTCTTCCCCTTACCAGTATTTGTCTCTTTCCTTCTGTCACCAAAGTACTCCAGATTCAACAAAAGACTCCTATCAGTTAAGCTGGTTAAATATATGAGTTGTATCTATGAGTGGCAGTCAATGCCAGTCTCACTTGGAGTAGACTCACTAAAGTTAACAGACACGGCCAACTTAGGTTCATTAATTTAAATGGATCTACTCTAAATAGGACTTACAGTCCTGCATCTTTTTAGTCAGAGAGCAAAATTTGGATTAATTTGGTGCAGAATCCCAGGACGCTAGTGCAAGCCATGTAACGCAGACCCTCTCCATCACCAAACCGGTTTTAATTTGAGAGATGGATTGAAAAACCCGTCCCTTTACCATCTCCTTTGTGCAGTAAACGAACACTCTGTTCTTTTATAATTGCCCTAGATCATCTGGCAGAAACTCTTCCCCACCAATTAAAAGAGTCTTCGACCCAAACAACAACTCATTCTAGTCACTTTTAGTTTCGTTCTTCTGAATTAGGCACACTGGACCGAATATTTAACATTTCCTGTTGGGATTTTTTGACACTCTGAAGTCTCCCCACCCCCTTTCTCTCTCACACACACACACATTCAGAGAAGTCACCCTAAGGGTTAATTCATTCATGCCAGTTGCTCCAAGAACACAGAACCAATGCAGATTAAAAAGTAAACCCCGCGTCTCCTTTAGCTCATTTTAAATAGCAGTTGGCATAGATTAAAGGATCCACATGAATGATTAGCCAATCTGTACACATTTATATATTAAATCCATTTTTAAAAAAGAGATTTTGCACCTTCCCCAGAGAAAAAAACAGCAGTTCATTTAAGCGGCTAGCTCCGCAGCCACATAGCGCATTGCCAAGGTGTGCATTTCCAAATTTACTGAGAAGTAAAGCTTAATATGTTCAACATCGCTTACTCCTCTGTCTGCTGAGGATTGCAGCCTTATGTAATAAACCTAACCGGTTAGTTTAGCAAAAACAAAATGCCAACTGCTTTGGTTTGAAAGCAGCCATTTCCAGAAAATACTAATCTGCTTTTGTATACAGTCTTTCAACGTCATGGTTAAATATAGTTTCAGTGTCAGTGAGCCTAGAACTATTAAATGGGCCCCTTTCCTGCGTAAATGAAGCACTTGTCCCTGCGCAAAACATTAGCAAAGCAGGTTCAGTGCAGGAGTTTTCTGGCGCACAAGCAGCATTCGCTGTCGACAGCCAGCCTTCCATGGGAAACAACAGGGTCTTCTGGAGCCTGCTGTGAGACTTTTCAAAGAATGCACCAGGGGCACAGGCAATTTTAGAACCCTATTCAGACACAGAAACACCACTTCCATAATATCCTCTCATTGAAGTGAATGAATTAGCAATGAATTTGCATTAGTTTGCTTGGCACTTAAAAAAAAAGAAGCAGCTTGCAGGAGCTCTTATTCCTCCATCCTGTTCCAGTTCATAAGCAGAAGGAAGCATTCCTGGAAAGTGGATTATACAACTTCTTCTGGTAATGGTAAAACTGAGAACTTGAAAGGGGTGGCTTTAATTCCTTCCAGTTGTTGGACATCACATTTTCATCTTTATTTACTCCAAGTGGCGGAGCTTTGTCAGATCTCCAGGCCAACAAATATTCTTTCCCCAACTGTTAGCCTTTGTGTATCTAGGGCTGGAGGGAGGAATCCGCAGAAGCCGGCTTCCAAAGCAGACTTAACCTGATCTGATCCAGGCAGATCATGACCTGGGTCTGATTGTGATCCACTTTAGAACCCCCATGGTGAACTGGGACAAACTGGACATCAAAGGGTCCATGTACTGTGTCCTTCCCCAGAATGGAAGAATCTTTATTCCAGCGGAGGATTCTGTGAGCTGAAAGGGGGTTGGGAGCTGATTTTGCAAATTCACTTTTTCTACTGTAGTCTCCTGTGCTACCTTATCACACTTTTCTAAAAGGTCCAATCCTCTTGAGCAGATCTGGGGGCAACGTAAGGCTGCAGAGGGACACCACTGACTACAGCCAAATAGATGCCTGTGACAAGTTGTGAGTTCCCAGATCTGAGCAGGGCTTTATTATGTACCATGGCATAGAATCACAGAATTGTAGAATTGAAAGGAACTACGAGGGTCATCTAGTCCAACCCCCCTGCAACGCTTCATTGGATCCAGCTTACATAATCACTTTAGTTGAATTTGCCCAAGGGAAATTCAGCAGAGGTGGATTCAGATGACTTACTGTCAAGGCAAACTCAAGTAAAGGTTTTCTCCCCCTCCCAGCGCATGGAAGTCAAAAAGGATTTTGATGAGAACTTCAAAGAAACAGTAACAGCAAATAAGACTGCAGGGTTCAGAACGTGGTGGGAAGGGGAAAGAGGAGAGGCTGAAATCTCTGGTTCATCCTGTATACCTGCTGGCTGACCTTCCCCAGATTAAATTCCGAGGTTTCTCTAAAGCTACAGATACTGCAACCCACCCTGAATCCTCAGAACAAAGTGTGTGCAAGTCAGCCCCAACCGGCATGTGGTCGCTGAAGTCTCCAAGACAAAGGTTGTGTGAATCCACACCAAAATTAATGTTGGTATGCGGCTTGAATTTGAGGATTTCTCAAAAGGAAATAAATACTAACATCTGGAAAGCGCTAGTCACTCCTATTCTCTCATCAGAGGGCTCACTCTGACCATACTGTACCAGCCCAATACACCACAGCTGAGAGGGAGGTACGGCCTTTGGAAAGGAAAGACCCTCGACAGAGAAGAGCAGCCTCATTTCTTCTGGGCTTGAGCCAGGCGGCGACTCGAACGTGGGATGGCGCCTGCCTGAACAGACTTGGAGATATGGTGCAAGTCCCGGACAGACCGGACAGTCCATTGGGCAAGCTCCTGCAGTACTTTCATGCCCCTCATTTTCTTCTCAAATGAGCTCTTTCCACCAGCATCTCTGATACTTCCCAACTCTTTGGCTGGTACATTGTGCTCCAGCATCGCCATCAGTTCCTCCAGTTGGTAAGCGAGACCCGAGACCTGGAGCACAACGGACTGGATAGACTCGTGGAAAGCTGTGTCGTCCGGGCTCAAGCTGGACCTCTGCTCTTCCAGGATTTCATCCAGTAATATCTGAAACGCCCAGTAAGCTTTCAGGTTGTCTGCTAGCCGCTCCGCATCTGAAATCTCGCCCCACTGTTCAGTGCCAGCTGTTGGCACGCCGTCAATCGAGTCCAGGTTGAAGTTTTTGTCCAACCCTTGTTTCTCAACCTAGAAGAAAAGAAATCGGAAAGGGAGCAAGTAGGTGGGGAAAATAAAAAGCTTTTCAGAAATTCTGCCCATATTTTTCTCGAGGCAATTGTTACACCACAACTGTTCACCCTGGCATTCCCCTGAACTGGACTTGCGATTTTATTGCTTTATCAAGTTTTTAGGTATTTTAACAGTTATGCTATTTAATTGCTTGTCTTGTTGTATATTTTAATTCAGGACGTTTTAGAGTTATTGTGCACTGTATTTTAACTACTGATTGACTTTATAATTGCAAACCGCTTAGGCAATTTTGGCATGCATGTAATCAGTATATAACTTAATAACTAATAGTTACAGTATACAGTGTGGAAAGTCTGTAGAGGTGTGTAAACCTCATTCAGATATGGATTCCAAAGGTACTCCAAGAAGAGAATGTTATACATGTAGCCTCCACAAGATGGCGCTATATTATAGGAACCGAGCGGTTCCTATCCTGTTATTTCCACCCCTACCCTGTCCCAGGGCAGGTCTGCTACAAAATAATTAAATTAAGCCCCTGGTTCGAACTCTGTCTTGACTTCTGATAGGGATGGAAAACCTACTTCCTACCATGACAAGACTGCTCCAAAATATTCCTTCTGGGACAAGTGCTTTGATGGACCACCAAGGTTTGGCAATAGAAATGAGTCCCACACCCCTTCCAGGTCAAAACCAGCTTGTTTTCCTTATTTTTCTTTGATCCCCAATATGTGCCTTAAAATTACTGCATGAGTTATCTGGAGCTATTTGTTCTGCCCTTGCTGTAACAAAGCGCCAGCCGAGTTGTGGGTGGATGGTTCTGCCTGTGGGCAGGGAGTGGACTCGGGAAGATATACGGCCCTTTCTAATTACTTGATTCTGTGCCACAGTGATTCATTTCCCCCTTCATTGTTAAATATATAAAACTACGAAGACTGCTTTCAAAGGGAGTGGAGTGAGGAGGAGCTGACCGGTGCCTTCCCATCAAGATTAGATGCCCTCTGCAGGGCTGGATTTACCAAAACACCAGGTAGAGATTAGGGGCTTAACAGTTTCAACTGGAATAAAATTAAATAACCTGAGGCACAGAAGGCTCTAGCTAAGCCCTGATTAGGAAAAACTACCACTTATCTATAATTATGAATCTCACTAGAAATCCAAATTAAAGGCACCCCATACTGGGAGCATTAATATGCCTTATCTGGTAAAAATGGTCTAATTTGTGAGAGAAGAAAGAGTACAAAGCCCATTATGCTTTCTCAAGGGAAAGGCCCCACACTCAGCTCAGCAACACACCTGATCAGTGCAAAAGCATCACTTTTTCCTTACAGTGGAACGACAAACATTTTGCTCCCTCAGAAAGCTCAATGAAGTTTAAGATCAACAGGGTTCTTTTTCCCTCTGAAATGAAGCCCTGCTTTCAAAATTCAAAGAAAACAGGTGGCCAGAGCTTTTGAGGCTAAGCAAAGAAGACATCCAAGCTGCAGAGAGTGGGAAGAAGAGTTTCAAAGAAAAGACTCACGTAGGACTCCAGGAGGCTACTGACATCTGAGCGCATCTTCCTCAGCAGATGAACGGTGCGGCGGCAGAGGTCGCGCTGGTGGGACATCCCAGGGAGCCACTCTGATGAAGCCATCACCCGGTTCGGCTGCCCCAGAAGGGACAGCGAGAGCCAAGGCACAGCTCACATAAGGCTGGGTGTCCACAGAAATCCCTTGCTCAGCTCATGCATTCCAGAGGCCAATAGAGAATTCTCCACTTGTTGCATAGCCTGCCCGCTCTCCCGCCCTCTTCCATCCCCCGCGGCCTAGGGAGAAACTGCAAATTCCTGGCAGCAGAGCTTAACTCTCTGAGAGCAACACAGACATTTCGCTCACACCCCCAGTTGAGAACCTCCAACCCACTCAGTACAAGATGTTGAGACCAGAGTTGTCTATTCCCTTTTCTGAGGCTTGCTTGTACCCTCCCCCTTCCTTGCATTATTTTTTATCGCTTTTATTTTGATTTGCCCGTGCCGGCTCAATGACCTACTAATCCCTGTAAATTCGATGCCACAAAGCCTAACCATCCATGATAAAAGGCACAAAAGGAAGCCAGTCGCCCTACTGACAGCACCTTTAGCCGGATACTTTCTGCGGCAGCTGTCTAATGCCAATGAACCATTCCCTCAGGCATTATTACCTTTTGTGTGGTTCTCAATTTTTACCTCCAGCAACTGTCTTCCTTCTACATCTTGTTAAAAGCCCAAATGGAACCAGCAACACAGCAAAGAGTTGTTTTGCATTTGCTTCATTCCCAACATCAAACATTCCCATTCATCGCTGTGCATTTGGACTGGGCTTGTAATGTGAATCCTTTCAGCAAAGCCTAGTCCAATTGGTGCTGCAGATAATGTGGTTTTTATTGGATTGTTAAAATGGAAAATTTAATAATTTTTTTTTTCTAAAAAAAAATGGTGCTGCAGGGTTGTATACTCCAGCTCCCCGTTTCTTTGTTCAGAACCGTATTTTTATTTAAAAAAAAAAAACAAAGACAACCCACCATCACCTGGCTGACTCAGCTAGGTACATATTTGCCTGGATATGCAACACATTTCCCTGTTAGCTCTACACTTAATGCTGGAGAAGACTGCTAGCACAAAGTGTGTGCCTTATCTTTTGAGAACAAGCTATTGATCCACCTTCCTCTCTTGGTTCTTTCTGCATGGTGCTCCCTACTTTATACAAGGGCATGTGCAAACTGCTTCAGTAATGCACGCTGTTCACATCATCCATGAAAAGAAACTGGGTGTGAGTCAGCATTACACCGGCATGGAAAGCACAGACATGGTCTGCCCCTCTGCACATTTACACCCAGATTGAGGGGGGGGGAGAGAGAATTAAGCATTTCCTTTGATCCACTGCAAATTGCCCCCCTTCCATGTTTTGCAGCAGAAAAGTCGCCATCAGGCTAACATTCAGTGAAGGTTGCATGCCTTCTTGTTTATCTTTAGGCTTTATGATATGACAAAGTCGACTGAATCCTTAGTAGAAACAGAGCTACAAGGTACCCCCAGTTCAAACTGCATGGAGGCAGGAAATTCTCTACTTCAGACATCTACCAAAATTGCCTGTAAAAAATAAATCTAACCATCTGTCACACAGCATTTTGACAACTTGAGTCTCTGCAAAGCCAGTTTAACTCCTCTCAAAGGTATGGGGACAGCAGCCCCCCCCCCCCGCCTCAATCTGGGATTCATAGACACTTGGAACTTCATCCACAAATTCACTGAGAATTACAGTACCTCCATTCTCATTACTGCCACCACTTTCAGCTCCAATTGACAAAAGGGGGTCCAGCTAAAATTCCTATGTGGTTCTAATGGTATTTCTCAGTTCATTGTTTTAGGAAGAGTCTGGATGTTTTTTTCTTTTTTTAAAAAAAATCTGTTTAGCAGCTTGCTTTGGGGCCTGGCAGGATGCTTCCCTTCTGTGCCTCTGTACACACACACACTATCTCAGATGGCATACAATTGGTATAATGTATTTCAACTGTTAGTTGTTAATACTAGTGATATACAAACAGTAGCAATTCCAAAGTGAAGAAGTCACCAATCAGTATTTTGCTGCCTAAGGAACTTGGCTTGAAATGATTACAGCCCTCTCATTTGACATTTACTTCTAGCCCACTCCTCTCCTGTGAAACTTTCCTAAAGACATTATATATCCTAATCTGGTTATATCTACCCCATACAACAGGGCTTGCTTCTGTTCAGTGACCTAACCTGCTTAGTACTTGCCTGATAATGCAAATGAGGCCAATAACTTTTTCCCTTCATCAGTCTGTTGCATCCCACACAACTGCTTCCAGAAAATCTTGAAATGGGTGCTAATTAATTCATTTTTCTGTTTTCTATTAAGGGTGACCCACCCACAGACTTATACTTTATTGTGGAAGTAAACAGTAAGGTCTCCCAGACAGAATCCAGTTACACTTTAAATGAACCATAGCTATTCTTCCAGTATCTTTTCAGTGTAAATAATGTAAGGTTATATCTAACAAAGTAGTGCCATTAGCACAAAGACTGCTGGCTGTGTAACAGAAATTACCGTACCCCCTCTCTCTCCGTGCCCCCCTGTGATCTGCAGATCTCCCAAGTAGATTTGGGGAGGGCACATGAGGGAAAGTTTCACTGCACAACCAGAAATCCTTGCGCTAACTGAATTACTTCATTGGATTCTGCCCATAATCTCTCAGGAATGTGAATGAATCAACCATTTAGGTAGAACCCAACCACATAGATTGGCATGCATCCCATCAGTTGGAAACAATCTGGCACCAGGTGGTGTAATTCATATCAAAATTGCTTCATTCGTAGACATTTCAGTGGCATGGGATTGCTCCTGCACTGATGCAGGTGCATGGAAAGCAGCCTCCTTTGTCTTTTCCATATAGACAGTATGCAATGAGACATGAAATATTTTATTTTCCCCCTTAAAAGTATTTATTTTGGTTATGGCTTACCCATCTTAAACACAAGAGATGAAAAACAGTATCCCTTTTTATTGTTTTATTTATTTTTGTTTACATAACCCTTAATCAACATGGATTTATCACTGCCCTCCCCCGACACCCTGCCCCAAATCTCCATCACTTGGTGGAAATTTTTATATGCAACAAGGCTTTTAAGCAATCAAAGACTTGTCAATTCAACCATCCCTTCCCTTAACACTAAAAAATAGGGGTGTGCCACAATGCAACACAGCTCTGTTGCCACCCAGTGGCTACTACTTCAGGTAGCTCTGCTAAGTATCGCAAATTCTGCTCCCTCTCTGGTGGGAATTTACAATGCTAGTGCAGTTTGCCTCTAGTTCTTCACTATCATCCTGGAAAGCTGCTCCAGGGATTTAGCAGTTCTCCCCCACCCTACAAAGACTCCACCATATTGCCATTGTTCAGAAACTATTTGAAGTAAATGGACCATTTCTAACATACTAAGCTCACCCACCATTGAAAAACCCCTGAGCTTCCTGTTGACATCACTTCTATTGGTGTTCATATAAATGCCGAAGAGAGAATTCATACATATCAGATTAGGAAATAGGCTTATGTTAGCTCTTTTTTTGGTGGTGGTGGGGTGCAGGATGCACACCATCTCTCACACTGACAGGAAGGGGATCCAATGCTTACACGGACAAGGTGAGTCTACAGATTGGACAAAACTACAAACTGCTTCCAGAGTGGGTCAGTATCAAATTAGTTACTGTAAACTACCCCATATTACAGAGGAAAGGAGATTATATAGCTTCAGCTCCCAGCACCATGCTTCCTTCCCATGGGAAAAAGCTTATAAGAAGAAAATATAAATAGTTTATTGCAAGTATTATAATAATTGATTGAAGCAAAACTGCATGCGTATGGTGGGAGACACATTAAGGGGAAGCAGCAGGAACAGTTTATGTCAAGGCAAATGGTTTCAGTTCATAAATCTAGACCAGAAGTTATTCACCCCAGAGTGCAAGGAGCTGACCTGGTTAAACACAAGACAATGTTTCTTTGACAAAATCATACACAGACACACATACACACACACCAACAGAGGGGAAAAAGATCAACAGAGCTGTCTAGGAAAGGTAAGTAATAAGCTGATGGGCAACTCAAGGTGAGAAAGAACTTCAAGTACTTTGGAGACTACCTACCTACAGCAAACGTTAACAGCCCCTACAACACTGAAAAAGAGCCTATGATGTGTTCTTGCTGGTACAGCAGTGAAATTCCTTATACTGTAGAAAAGAGGACAGCCCCTTCAGCAGTATACAGAAGAAGCTCTCAACTGCAAATACCTTTCTGGTGTCAACCCTAATCACAGGATACATAGCTTCATGTCAAGCCTGTAAAACACACAGCCTAAAGCCACATGCAGCACCCCAGCTACACACTGCAGCCTAGCAGGTTGTTGACAAACCTCCAACCCGTCTGCAGAAACGGAAGGAACACAAGTTGGTAAATAAAAACCCTGGCAGACAGCAATAGTTTGCATCATTTTAGTGCCCCATGGAAATACCCGGTTGATGCTTAGCTTCCAACTCAATAAAGGAGCTCCATTTACACATCTCTCCAGATACTCAAAACTGTGGCTGGGAATGATGCTAGCTAGTGCTATCCAGAGTAATTTGGAACTACACGAGGTAGAACTACAGTATAGACTGAAAAACCTATTTCTATAACCACTGATTTAAAAGAGGGCGGCAACATTACCAAACCAAAAAAATCAGGATCGTGCCTAAGATAATTCCTCATTCTCGGTTCCTGTTAATATGAATACACTAGGCCAGTAAAATAGCAAAGTAGGTTCGCTGGAATACTTTGTCACCACAAGCTGTCGGGTAACAGTCAAAAGCTCATGCAAATTATATCCAAGTGAATTCTGGAGGTGTCAGTTGCTTTTCTAAGCTCTCCACAAAATGCTAGACTATTGCACTCCTTAGTGATACCCCAGTCACCAACTGTGACAGAAACAAGAGGATATGCACCTATGTGAAAGTGCTGGATATATGGCCAAGGAGGTCTGGAGCCGCCACCACTCAATGTCAGTGTTGCATCTAAATAGGTTTTTAAAGACTGGGTCCAAGCGTCTTTGGACAGTCAATCTATTCAGCAGTCTATATATAACACATCCTCAAAAACAGGCCTTTTCTTAATGGCATTATCTTACCAAAACTAGAGAAATGCAAAACTAATAATGCAACCTAAGTGAGCAAAGCGTTAGGAAAGCTGGGGGAAGAGATTAATGGCTGACACAGGACAAAGCTTTGAAGTGGGTATTACTTCTTCACAAAGAAGTCCTCCCCCTCCAAACAACAACAAATGCTGAAATCTCCCTGTTCACTAGAAAGGGCACAAAGACCTATTCTGCTACACTAGCACTTCCTTCAAGCAGGGAGATGGACAATTCCTTAACATGGTTTGCTGAAGAGGCTGCTTCCATTTTATACCCCTTAAGAAGAATTGGTTTTGAAAGAAAATCCTCCCTAGACAGCTGCTAAGAGATCCTTTTTTAAAAAATAAAATAAATAAGGAATTTGTTATCACAACTTAAAAACAAGACACGTTCAAAGTGCAAATTTTCTTTTACCAGTCTAGCACCCATTCTTGTTGCCTCTCCTACACAGGGCTTTTGCAGCCAGAGCAACTGTAGAAAAGGATGGCACCCCTTATGAAAAAGCGAGCACCCGAGTGCCAGAATCCCCTTCTCTCTCCTTAGTGAGGCAGAAGGAAGGATGAGAGAAAGGGGGAATATATGCTGTTTTACAGCTCATCCTGCTGAAGGGTCCTAAAGTGCCAAGCTATATTCCCAAGCCCTAGGAGAAGTAGGAGCCTGCAAAGGGTCAGAATTTAATAATGCATAGAAAAGGATGACGTGACTGGGAGGTGCAAAGTAGGGTTTCGAAAATGAGATAGTGATCCAGAATACAAACACCTTCAATCTTGCAACATTGGGTCAAGAAGCAGGAAGTTTGCTTACTGTGGAAGGGCAGGGAGAGGGATAGGCTCTGGCTGCTTCCCTTCACTGCGTTACAAGAATTCCTTGCTTTGTCAGTCTCTGTGTAAAGGCAACATTCCTCTCCAAGAAGGGAACTGCGAAAGAATGTGTAGTGATCCACTCTGGGAGGGAGGAGAGGTGGGGCAGAGGGGGAGCAGGCCCTTTAGTTATTTGACTAGTAATTTAAATGTTTTAGTTTCTCTATACTGAATAAGCTTTTCCCATTTATTTATTTTTTTAAATACAAGTTCAAGTTGTCCCAACACCCATGTGCTCCTTTTCCCTACTAAGGTCCTGTAGAATCAGAATCTTCAATTAGAACTTCAGTGGTCGCTCCAAGGATCTCGGTGTTCATGACCAGCCCTTCCGTACTCTCGCCACTAGCAGTGCCAACAAAGATCTTCCCGTCGGCCATCAGATTGACCCGATCACCCCCACTGCAATATGCCTTGGGCATCCCGTCAGGGTTCAGCAGTAGACATTCTCCAGGAGTGGTGTTTCCAAGGGGATCTGGAAGAAGGGGGAGGCCCTGGCCATCAGTGGGCGGGACAACAGACTCTGGATTGGTACCCAGGATCTCAGTGCTGGTGATGAGGGCGCCTGCATTGGCTGCCAGGGCTTCAGCAATAAGCACCTCTGGGTGACTCTTAGCCTTATGTGCTACAACACTGTCTTTTTTCTCAAACTTCTTTCCACAGATATTGCATGAAAACTGGTAAAATGTATCTGCATCATGCTTTTTCATGTGCCAGTTCAATGAGGCCTTCTGTCGGCAGGTGAATCCACAGATCTCACATCTAAAGAAAAAAGTGGGGTGGGAAAAGAAATATGAAATATGGCTGTAAGAATAAAGTCTTGTAATTTACAACACAATGGAAACCTAGCCTCAGTCATTGGCCAAATGAGTTGCTCCGCCTTACTTCCTTTCTTGCCCCAGAGGTCCTTAGTAGACCTGTTCCCTGTTAGGCAAGTAGCTGAAAGGTGTCACCAGTGTGAGGGCAGAGAAATTCTGCCTGAAGAATTCTGGCACAATACAGATGTTATTTCTGCTGCTGATACTACAGGAATGTGATTCTTTAAACAAATATTTTAGAGCACCTCTGGCCTATCAAGTTGGGCAGAAGAATTCAAAATAAGTTAAGAAAGAAATAAGAGTGGAATACAGAAGGGTAGCCTAAGAAAGGCACCCAAAGATATAGCTGGTCTAATCCCTCATGACTAGAGACGCAGGATAAAGCATGACATTACTTACTGTAACGGCTTCTCGCCTGTGTGGATCATTCGGTGAACTGCCAGATTGTGAGAACTCTTGAAAGCACGGGCACAGTATTCACAAATATAATCCCTTTGATCTGTAAAGCAGCACACAGTATTCTATAATCAAGTCTTGTTCCTAATCAGATCCCTATTTGTACAACTGGAAAATGCCTTAATGCTCCGATCATAATACTCATGTTTTAAAATGTTTTCCTTGTAAGAGTGAGGGGGGCTGTTTAACAGTAGCAGGGATATATTTCTCAGCTGAAAATACATTTGTATATCACTACCAAGCCATTCCTAGACGTTACTTTCATGCACCCTTACTTTTTCTTTTCCAAAAAGACTCCAATGAAGAGGGAAGGTATGGAAAACCTCCACACTAGACTTGCAAGGTACACTCTTCTAGTTGCTCCATCAGTGCAAGCATTTCTGTTTGGCCAATGGACCAATCCCCCCCCCATGCTGTTCTGGGAGCTCTTCTGAACCCAGTGTATTTAAGGGAGGCATGGGAGGGGAAGCCCCACTGAACTAGTGGGAACCTTTGTGCTGGCTACTGTGCTGCATTAGTTGAATCCCTGGGCCAATCACAGGTAAATAGTATTTCTCTTTGAAGACTATTAAAGTTACACATTGCCCATTTTAAGGTGCCTGTAGGCCACAACTTCCATACAAATATATACAAGCAAATAAATGTGCATAGTTGCACAAAGCCCTTTCAAAACTTCACCCATAACAGACACTGCCCTTGGAAGAAACAGTCTGGGTTAGATCAAAACAAATGCAAGAACAAACAAGAGCCATAGGGAAGTAGCCAGAAATAGGAGGCAGGGCCAGATTTCTCTATAAGGACATAAAACAGCTTGATAAATATAATGTAAAATACTTAATTTGCATTTGAGTAACAGTTGCTGGTCATTTCTTTTTTGTTTATAAATAACTAGTATTTCATTTGTTTCGCCTTCTTCCTCACATCAGTTGGGGAACCTCCAGACCATGCTAAATCAGACCCATAAGGCCAGCCAATTTGGCCATCTCAGCTCTTTGTGGCCAGCAATGGTCATCTATCATTCACCTGATGTTTAGTAAAAGCTGGCAAATTTAAAGAACGCAGAATACAAGCCAAGCCCCACTGCCAAGGGAAAATAGGAAGCATGCAGCTTAGATTGTTCTATTGATTGTTCCTTTGCAGCAGGGCTTCCATTTGCCACTGTTCAAACTGACTGCTGAATGCAAGCACCACTGCTCTCTGGTGGGTTCAGATCCTTCTGATCTGCTATTAGGTTACAGATATGTCTGCCTGCTTTTCAAAAGTGGTTCCCCACTCCTACCCTACAGATCAGGTTCAGTGTGAGGGGAATACAACAAGAGAACTTTAGGAGGTTGGGCCTACTGCTTTCTTCTGTACTAGTCATCGTCAACATTTTGAGTGTATATGTGTAGCAGATGGTCTACTTTATTATCTGAATACGGACATTTCAGTTTACTTTTTGTGAATGTCAGAATATATGTATCCAGACAAAATTTCTTCAGGATTGTTCAGATCTAAATACTGACACTTGACAAGTTTCAGGCACCAAAAATTAAATGGAGAGGGGGAGAAGTGTGATTGTTGGAGAAAATGTGGGCTATTAGTGTAATAATAAGTAAATAGTAAGTTTAATATTAACCTTTGCCCAGTATGTTAAGAGTAATTGCAGCTCCTTTCATATGGAAAAGGATGCCAACCTCCACTATATGGAAGAAACTGATGAACAAGCCACCAGGATTAGGTACAGTGGTGCCTCGCAAAACGAAATTAATCCATTCCGCAAGTATCTTCGTCTAGCAGTTTTTTCGTCTTGCGAAGCAACCCTATTAGCGGCTTAGCGGATTAGCGCTATTAGCGGTTTAGCGGCTATTAAAGGCTTAGCGGCTTAGCTGCTAAAAGGCTATTAAAGGCTTAGTGGCTTAGAAAAAGGGGGGGGGGGAGCGAAAAAAATCTCAAGACTCGCAAGACATTTTCGTCTTGCGAAGCAAGCCCATAGGGAAATTCATCCTGTGAAGCGCATTGAAAAACGGAAAACCCTTTCGTCTAGCGGGTTTTCCGTCTTGCGAGGCATTCGTCTTGCGGGGCACCACTGTATACAGATTAACCTTCCCCCCCCCCACCCCATCAAGTTCATATTTTTGGGTTGGTTTGATGCTGGCTTGTGATAAAAACTTGGTGATCTAGCATAACCTGCAGGTGCTTATTTTCAAAGCTAGTTTAAGCTGTGACCAAAAATCTAATGGGCATTTTAAGGCCCAAATACACAAAGAGAACTCCTCCACCTTTGTACTGAAGGTTTTATTTCAGCATTTTATTAAACACTGAAATTGCTACAATTTCTATTTGTTGTGCACGTCACACCTGGATTGAGGTTTCACACACCCAAAAAGAAAAACTATTCATTTTCCTCCAGCAGCACCTGGTGGAGTCGTGTTGCTTACCTAGCTTCCCAATGCAGAGGTTGCCACCAGTAACTGAGAGGAGACATGGAGTGGGCAGTGTTGGGAGGAGCAGACTGGCTCTGTCACTGTGCCTGCACTGCACTGCTCTCCCCACCCCCATTAGAGGCAACAACCTTCACATTGGGAATCCAAGTAAACAACACCACACTACCCTGCTGGCCACTATTGCTTTCATCCTATGTTCTTTAGCAAAGTGTGGCAATTTTGTCTTATAGCCTATATTACCTGTATGGTGTTTGGCATGCCGCAAAAGTTGCTTCTGGAGCCGAAATAGTCTCCCACAAGACGGATGAGGACATACATATTTTTTTTTCAGCAGATGCTGATATTTGATGTGATGCTGAAAACAAGGGAAACTTAGAAGGTTCACAAATATTAAAAATAGTAACAGAAGAAAGGTTCACTGGTAAAGTCAAGCCCAGCATTTGTGACACTTTAGTACATGCATATAAAGGGCAATAATGCAACATTTATTTTCTTTATTAAGTTTACATCCTGCCTTTCCTCCTAAAGGATTTTCTACCAACTCATGGTACTATGAGGGCTAACAAAAACAGCACTGATTACACAGGCCTTGGAATTATTTATAACTAAAAATAAATAGATGCAAACAGATAGTAATAAATTATTCTCACCTGCAAATAGCGAGGATGTGCAAGAACTGTGCCACATCCTTCCATCTCACAACGTACGTATTGTATTGGGGGCTTTTTCCTAAGGAAAAAACAGGAGAGAAGATGGGGACAGAATGACATGGAGCACTATTACAAATGTAGACATTATACTTTTCTAATGAACACAGAGAGGTGGACTGCAAGGGGTGAGCAGTAAAAGAAGACACATTAGTCTTTTGACATGGACAAATTCTTTGAAAAACCTTAATAAAAATGTTACTTTAAAAAAAATGATTTTTCTAGAGTATTTGTGGTTTCCGAAATCCTTTGCAGAAAAACATCTGAACTGTTGTGTTCAACACAACTTCTGCACCCCCTTCCTTTAGGGCATGACTCTTAGAGGGACAATTTATAACTGAAGCGGTCAGTCATCCCCAGAAGCAACTCTTTGGATCACAATGTATTTGGAAGTTAGAAATGTATACAAGCTGCGTCATTATTCTCTTAACAGGATGGTTTGTGGTTGGGACTACGAAGCTTTGTTTAGGTTTTCTTGCTTTTGTTTAACCATGAATATTAGAAATGGTTCCATTAGAGTTACATAATTAAACATTTCAAAACAACTCACTTTACAAAGTATGCAAGAACTGAGCAGGCAAATGAAATACAGTATAGAAAAAGCAGCACAGAATGGACCTGAATCAAGGATAAAAATTTAATCACTCCTGTAAACATACTGTATCAAATGGGATTAGGTTATTCAAAAAGAGACTAGTGTAAGCAAGCCTTTAAATAAGCCCACAGAAGGTACTAGTTTGTTCCCATGCAGACTGCAGAGAAGGGAAACCTGCTATGATACACAGAAGAGTCTTCTTTCATTTTTTATATGCAAAACTAAATGCATGGGGAGGATCTGCCTCAGCAGAACTTTAGATAACCAATATCCAGTTAGCCAAGTTTATATTGTATCACTATATTAAGATAGAAAAAGTAAAAGAAGCTCACCTCCTTTTGGGAAGTCGTGGACTCTTGTCATCTTTTCTCCTCCTTCCTCTTCTAGAACAAGACCACAAGGACAAAAGCGAAAACAAAGAGAAAAAGAAAACACATTTACTGATGTACATGCAAAGGGAACTATTCTTCAGATGGCAAGTTGATTAATGACAAAAATCTACCACTAAAATAAAACAAGTACAGAACAGAACAAGTAGCTTATTCGCAATAAAATGTAACTTATTTACATATATTTCTGTTATCCGGCTGGCACAGAATTCATTCTAACACAACCAACCCCCAAGCAAGCAGATGTAAGGTAAAGGTAAAGGACCCCTGGACAGTTAAGTCCAGTCAAAGGCGACTGAGGTGGGGCACTCATCTTGCTTTTCAGGCCAGGGGAGCCGGTGTTCACCCACAGCTTTCTGGGATCATGTGGCCAGCATAACTAAACCGCTACTGGTGCACGGAGGACTGTGATGAGTGCCAGAGCACAAACGCCTTTTACCTTCCTACAGCAGCAGTACCTATTTATCTATTTGCAGTGCTATGCTTTCAAACTGCTAGGTTTGCAGAAGCTGGGACAGAGCAACGGGAGCTCACCCCACAATGCAGATTTGAACTGCCAACCTTCCAATGGGCAGGCCCAAGAGGCTCAGTGGTTTAGACCACAGTGTCACCTGCGTCCCAATGTACAACTTTCAGAAGATATAAATTCTAGTATTGCAACATGTTTTTTCTAATAGGAACTTCTTTTCATTAAGGGATCTCTCCAGAGACCTAAAATTTTCGCTTGGCTTCCTAATCAAACCAATTCCTTGAGGTCTTATCAACTCCTCCCTTCTAGTCTTGAGGTATATGTGTGCAGGCAAAGTAAAGTAAAATCTTTGCAATGGGGTTTTGTGAAAAGTACACTGCTGCCTTCTACTTCAAAAGCAGAGGGAAGAGATATAATCCCTCCCTCCTTCTCCTCTGTGAAGGGAAGAAGAGGTAGTCTCTCTCTCACAAGATTATTGTTATTTATTAAACTTATTAGTTTTTTATTTACTTACAAAAACTCAGTGACTTATAACAATAAATATAGATAGGCTTTTACAGAAAATGCAAGCAATATCCTAGCCACTGTTGCTGTTTCTTTGAACACTCCCGTGGGAAGGGTGAGAAATCCCTGATCATTACCTCTACAAAGGTTCTCGAAGAGAAGAGTGAGGTGTCTTTCCCTTCCCACTAAGCCCTAGCATGCAGTCCTCAATTTGGCCAAGAGCATCTATTTAGGAGGGAAACAATTAGCCAACTCCAGGACCATCATTTGCCCCTACCCTCAGTACCACCAATACAGCATGGATGTTAGAAGAGCACAATGCTTTCATATACCTTAACATTCTGAAATTTAATTTGTGTACACAACACAACTGCAGGATCTAGTACCCCTTTCCCCTCAAAAAGAGAAATGCTGCAAGTTTCTACATCTTATCTAGTAAACAAAGACCCAAAACCATGAGTGCAGGTAATCTCCTATAAATGATCAGATGCCATAATAATAATAATAATAATAATAATAATAATAATAATTTATTTATACCCCGCCCATCTGGCTGGGCCTCCCCAGCCACTCTGGGCGGCTTCCATAGAAACCAAAAATAAATTAAAATATCACACGTTAAAAACTGGTTCTTCAAAAACAAATGAATCTAATGTGCTTGTACAATGAAACACTCCCCATCCTAAATCTGTTCTGGATTTCCTCCTCAACCCTCCAGAGAATATTTGGGGTGAGGGTGCAGGAAGAAGAAGGAGAGAGAAGTGAAGTTCCATTGGGTGAATGAAAGTTGTTCTGCTTATGCAATGACTTTGTTAGATTCAACTCAATAACTTATTTGTGCTCAGTGTAATGCCATGCAAAGTCAGCAGATAACTTCGATGTTGGTACACTAGCAGAAAGTAATGAACCAGACATTCTTCTTGGCTTTAAAAATCTACACAACCACTCAACTGTAGACTTCATAGCATGGGTGATATAGAAATAAATATTCCAGATCCAGTACAAAGCACATACGTGGCCTTTAATTTTGATCACATTACATGGCTTGTACACAAAGCCACAGAATTTTACTCACTTCCTAGGTGGTTCCTCATCTTCTCGGAACTCACTTTCTTCTTTGACTTCCACCTCCACTTTAATCTCTTTCTGTTTCTCTTTTTCTTCTTTTCCCTTCCCTGTTTTTTTCTTCTGCTTTGGAGCTTCCCTGCAGAAACAGACATCACATATTCTCTACTTCAGGAAACCTTTCAGCTGCAGTTTGGCAACAACCTGAATCTTTTAGACAATTCTTCAACATGGATTTTGAGGCACTTCCAAGTTTTCATGTTTGCTATCCCTGTAATTAGTAAACATGCCTTGGTCTCTGCCAATTTTTACAGAGTCCAGTTGCTCACAAAAGTGGAAACTTAATATTTAAGTGTGTGTTTCTAACTATGGGTCTGAACTGGCAGCTATTCCATTAGCCCATCAGATTAATGACATAAAATTCCTTTTTGCTTGGAAAATGGAACACACCTGTCTAAATGTGGTTTATAGGTTTCATCTCTGGGATCATCTTTGAAAGGAACCTCTTCTTCACTGATAAGCATTTCTTCTTCATCACTGTTGATGCAGTGAAAAGAAAGTGAAAGAATGAACAGAATTTTTATATCAACATATTCCTGAACACAGAAGAGAACAGTATAAACTTCATACACTTTTTCTGGGCCTTACAATATTATGCACAGAGTACACACTAGACAAAAGGCACTTTTTCTGGAACATGCAAAAGAGACAGCAAGCTATCTGTTCACTTGCTAGGAGCCTGCATCAGCAATAGTTCAAATAATCCAATAACAGGAATCATATTGCAGGGTAGTGGGAATGCAAGTAGAACTAACATTATCTAAATCATTCTCTCTCTTTGTAAGAATCTCTTTAGATATATCTTCTATTTTCCTATCAATTTCAATGGTTAAAAACTTAGCCCTCATCAGTTCTAAAACTGGCTGAGCATTTATTTATATGGTAGACAGTTAATCCCCAGTGCTTCAAACCTCCAACCCCGGCTACTGGCAATATTTCTATCAGGTAACATATTAGCTTAGCTTTCCCTAACTTTAGGTCATCATCTAAGCAAGTCAGCCTCTGAATTAATTTAAGACACCAGACATCTGTTATATTTGTATAATCCAAGCGTCTTTGAGCGATATTTTAGCCTGACAGCACCCTGTTTGAATCAGTTTCTTATGCACAAACCAATATTCTAAATACACTAATTATGGAAGAACACGGCAATCAAAACTTACCTGATTCCAGCTGGAGATGAATGCTCTTCTGTGACCTCTAAAAGTTAGAAACAAAAGCATATTTTTATCTTAATAAGTATGGGCAGTAATCATCAGCATCTGAGAACTTATATGTACAGTGGTACCTCAGGTTAAGTACTTATTTCGTTCCAGAGGTCCGTTCTTAACCTGAAACTGTTCTTAACCTGAAGCACCACTTTAGCTAATGGGGCCTCCTGCTGCCGCCGCGCCGCCGGAGCCAGATTTCTGTTCTTATCCTGAAGCAAAGTTCTTAACTTGAAGCACTATTTCTGGGTTAGTGGAGTCTGTAACCTGAAGCGTATGTAACCTGAGGTACCACTGTATATATCACTGTAGTGCTACATCAAAACGATGCAACATGTCAAATATCCGTATCATGGTTACGTATGGAGATACTGTTTCCAATTTTGCACAAAAAGGACAGTACATAATATGTAAGAAAATTACAACCCAAGCCACGCAGGCATCAATAGTAATGAAATGTGTTGTGTGAAATGCTTATAGCTTGCATTTTAACAATTAAGCTATATTTGCACCTGGTCTGTGTTGCACATGACTACATGGGCAAAAACTATTTTTAGTAACTGTCAACTTTAAGGCACAATACTAATTTGTGGCTTTCAAATCCTATAAATTTTATGCTTTACAATAAGGTTGGGGAACTTCAAATGCAGTCTTCCAAGCCTCTCCATCTGGTGCTTAGGACTCTCTTCACATCATACCCTAGGCCACACTCCTTACTGGTCCTGCTTTGCATTTTTCAAGGACTGAAAGCAGCACATACCGAATTCTAACTGGTCTGTGTTTGGTTCTGATTTGCAGATGAGCTGCAAAGACCCAGTCTTGGATCTAGAGCTCCGTGAATTATCTGTATCACACTGACGAACAGCAGCTGCTGCCCTGTTGCTACGCCAGCCCCGACTGGGCCTGGCTATACCGACTGGGGTTCCAGCAGCAAGAATATTTGAGACTTCTTCCTCTTCTGTCTCTTCTTTGGGATCTGTGATATAAATATCAGATGGTGATTATTATTTATTAGTTGCTTTACTCATGGAAATGATGCAAAGGGACTTACAGACACAACAGAAATAATATAACCAATTACAATAAACATGATCAATAAAAACCTTTAAAACCCCTAAATTTTACAAATAAAAGATACAAGCAGCGACCATTTTGCATGTGTCCAACTGATGTAAGACCACCAACAATCACACCACTTTTGGCCCTGGAATAAGCAGGGAGGGCTGACGCCCAACCACTGACACATGCAATAACCTGGTATGCAACTGCCACGCAAATGAGGAGTTGCCTGTATTACAGTTCTTGCCTCACTTATTTTAAATATAGATGTATTTTAAAGGCTTCCAAGGGCAAAAAGCCCAGGTAAAAAGGGAAGTTTTTACCCTGTGCCTAAAAATATAGATGGCACCAGGCAAGACTCTTGGGTGAGAGCAGGCATAGGCAAACCTGGCCCTCCAGCTGTTTTGGGACTACAACTCCCACCATCCCTAGCTAACAGGACCAGTGGTCAGGGATGATGGGAGCTGTAGTCCCAAAACATCTGGAGGGCCGAGTTTGCCTATGCCTGGGTGAGAGCATTCCACAAGCAGGAAATCACCAAGTGAAAAGGCCTGCTCTCCTGTTACAATCCTACAGACTTCCCAGGGCCCACAGAGAAGGGCCTCAAATGATGTACTCAGAGACCAGGTCAGTTTATCTGAATCAAGAATAAAAACAACAACAACACCTTTGCTTTTAGAATCATATAGCTGGAATGGAACAAAAAGCAATGCATTCTCCAGACCACAAAGAATCACAAGCTGGGAGGTGCAGTGCTAGAGAAGGGCACTCTTAGAGTAAATAGCTCAAGAGAAGTTGCACAACATTTATGTAAACTTTGTTTATAAATATTGCTTTTGCTGTGATACTACCCACCCTGTGAAATGGTCTCCCTTCAATATTTAGTCAGCACCAATAGTAAATATGAACCTGTTCACCTGGGCCTTTGATATGTTAGACCAGTTTTACTTTCTCTTAGATATAGATATAATTTTTATACTCTAAAGGTGGTCAATGTGCTTGATTTTTAATGGACTGACCTACGTTGTACACTACTTTGGCAACTTCTAGTTTCAAAGAGGAATATAAACTGTAATAAGTAAATAGGCAATGCTCTTTATAATAGGCTGTTCTGTGCAATCACTTTTACACAAAACAAATAACCTCTTCTTATACATTCTTTCAATGATTGCTTTTGATACTGTTCATTGCACCTATTCCGGATCAAATGCATTTCTTAAAAATAGTTGACCAAAAATGGACACATTTTTCCAAGATAACTATCAACACTTGTCTGAAGCTACCAATAACTCTATACACTGTCTAAAAATGTTTGCTCTAACAATCCCAATACTTCTTACCTTCCACAACCTAACCTATGAATCTGTGTGAACAATTAGAGAATAAATCAATAAATGCTGACATGCAGGACACTTGCTGTGCGATTATCTAACGTAAGGCAATTTAAATCTGACTATAGGAAAGCTCCAGCAGCGGTAAGGAGAAAGACACCTGCACACAAAGCTCTCCAATAGGAAACAATTTTTCCTACCCTGCAATATTTTGCTCTCTGAGTAAACTCTTAATTTTTTACATTTAAAGAAGGAGAAAAATAAGATTGGGCTTTTAAGAAGAAACAAGACTGCTAATTCAGTGGACAGGGATTTCTCACTGGTACAAACAGCAGCAAATGAGTCTTTACAAAGGACCCAAAACCTTCTGAAAGAAAAAACTACTACAGAGTAGTTGAGTCTTTGACAGAGGGTCCTCAACAAGTTGAAATAGAGTTTATATGTCTATGTCTAATGACATTTATTTGGCAGAAACAGCTCCTTCAAGGTCCAAGAAAAGGCTGATCAACCCCTCTCACCCCTCATAATCTTAGCTAGCAGAAAAGAGAAAATAGGACCTGCAATTCATATTAGAAGACACAGGATGCGGTTACCATACCCTGCTTCAGACATGCCAGTTTCAAATAATTAAATAATGTACTATTTGATTATTAATGAAATGTAGCTATCCTGGAAGTAGGTCTCCCACATTTTAATTAATTATATTAACAGGAAACCCAAGAGGAAATATATACTAAAGATATCTAAATAGAGACGTTTTCTTTAAACATGTCAGCTACAGATAGAAAGACAGTAAAACTGTTGGATGGCAAAAATTAAAAAGGGTTTTGAAGTAATTAAAGGTGTAAAGCAGGCAAATGAATGATCGGTATCAGTTTTAACTGAAGGTGCATCAGACATAGCCACACCTGATCCATCATCCATTGACAAGATATATGACCAATGTATATACGTACATATGACCAATAAAAGAAGCGATCACATTAAAATTTAAGTTATAATTGCAAAAAAGTGACAAGACAGCACATCCAGATGGGACTCTTCTAGCCTGTGAATTTGACAGTACTGTAGTTTAGGACAGACTGAAGTAGTGCAGACAATGTGAAATCAACTCATGGAATTCATTTACATGAGATGTTTTGATAACCATTAGAATTAAGATCATTTTTAAAAAGGTTTAGTCAAGTTCAGAAAAGAATCTATCAACCAACTGTTATTACCCATAATAGCTAAAAATAAAACAATGGACCAAAGCAATACATCTCCGTGATTCTACAGTTGGTAACAAACAATTTCTACTATTCATGTGAACCCCTCAAGGATATCCAGATGTTTACAAGTTGGGAATGGACTGCCAGGCTAAATACAATTGAGGAGAGTAATTGTATTATATGTGATACATTCAAATCTTACCTTTCACCACAGTTTTATCCAGGCATCTGAAACGAAATGAAATACATGGTGAATTTCTCCTGAAACCACTAACACAACAGCATGAAAAGTAAGATTTATTCTAAGCATTATATCTGCTTCAACAAAATATATGTTCTTTCTCAGGAAGTTTCATCATTAAGGATGATTGTAGGGGTTAAAGCATTGCACTAGGAACTAGGAAATACATGTTCAAAATTCCACTCAAACACTATCTTTTAGTCTAGCCAACTTCATAGGACTGTTGTGAGGAGAAGGTTGGGAGAGAAAGCATCACATACATTGCTTTGAGCTCCTTAGAGAGGAGATAACCTTTTGTAACTAAGGAAAAGGTACATAGCTGTGCTCACAAGTGCTAATACTATATGTTTAGGAAAAACTCCAGGAAATTATTATTTTTTGCCACAAATGTTGAGAAATGTCCTAAATGTCAGTCTTGGTTTTCCAGTTCTCTCACACAACCACTTCATTCAAGTGCTAAGCTATTTGATTTATTTTATTACAGTTCTTCATTATTTTCAGGGCCAAGTCCTCAGAAAGCAACATATACTTTCTCCCAACACTTTTCCCCACCAAAAAAAGAGGGAGGGGGAAACTGGACAATGCTTATAAAAGTACTGAGTGTAAGCCAGATTTCTTCAGCAAGGACCACACAACGCCACCCCCACTTCAGGGCCCCCACCCCTGGAAGCATTTATTACCACTAACTAGCCACTTCTCCTATGAAGTTAAGCTGACCCTGTATAGAAACTGGCCCTACAACAGTCAGGGGCGTGTGTCTTAATCCCCAATTAGTAATGTAACCGTCCCTAATTAACATGAACACGCACAGATGATGTGTGCTTCCCAGTGCAGACTAGCACTGCCTGGAATAATTCTGGGAATATTTACCTAGAAGAAAGCCGACTTGAACTCTGTGGGGCTGACTTCAGAGTAAACATGCTCAGGATTACACAGCGCATGAAGCATTCTCGCATGGGGTCGTTGCCATAACGCAAAGAGGCGCTCAAAGTTCCTGAATGTACGTTTTCTCAATGCCATTAGCGGCAAAGTGGGGATGCGGCAGGGAAGCGCGCGGGGGGGGGGGGGAGAAGCAACCCCTTTCTCTTTCACCAGCGAGCAGCGCCAATACTCACGCGGCGCGCGGGCTCTCCTTCCTGCCGGCAGCGCCAGGCGGAGCGGCGGTTGGTTGCGGCTCAGCCTCGGAGCCGGGCACCGACGGCGTCTCGGGCCCCTGGTTCTGCCGGGCGCCAGGGCTACTGCGGCGCCGGCGGGGATATTCGGCCTTCCTTCGGCGTGAGGCGGCAGCGGCGGCGGCAGCAGCAGCGGCGGCGGCCGCCCGTCCCCGGTCTCGGCCTCCTCGGAGCACCCGACTGCCGCCGGACTCCTCCCCCTGTCCAGCAGCGGCTGCGGGAGTGGGCGGGGGACGCCGGCGGCCGCTGGGAGGCGGAGCGCTCGCCTCTTCGCTCTCTCGTGGCTCCTGCTGCGGCTCTTCCTCCTGGGTCTCCGCCTGCTCGGGCGCCCCCGGCATCAGAGCAGCTGGCGGCGGCGGCTCAAAGGGCGGCCCAAGCGGCGGCAGCGGCTGCCCCTCCTGCTCGTGACAGCAGCGCCAAGCGCTCCCCCCGCCTCTGTACAGCGGGCCCCCGCCCTCCCGCGCCGAGCGAGGCCAATCAAGAGCGAGTTCGGAGTTCAGGCCGGACGCAAGGTCTCCCCCCTCGCTCTGCGCCAGCCAGTCAGAAGGGAAGGTGCCGGACACACCCCACCCACCGCTCTTCCGACTCCACCAATCGGCGTCGCCAAGGCCGGCTGGCTCAGGACGCTCCAATCAACGGGCGAGCTTCGTCGGGGGCGCGCGCGCGCTGTCGGAATCCTGACCGTGGCGCGCGCGTCGTAGAGCGGAGCCGTTTAACAGCGTGGCGCGCGCCAAATGTCCTTCGTTTCCCTGAGGAAGGGGCATCGTTGCGGAGGCTTCTCTCGCTCGCTCTCTCTCGAGCTACGGAACCCTCAGTGCCGCGCAGTAACGCTGTTCCCGCGAAGCCCTCAGTCCTGTCGTTGTCGCCCCCTCCCCCCCCGTCCGCTCCGCAGTTTGGGCCGGTCTGGTATCCCACAGCCTCTTGTTTGGACGAACGAAACGAAAAAGAGATTCGGTACCTTCCGAAAACCTGTTTCCCTGAGCTTCACGCCGTCCGCGTTTCTCGGAGCTTCACGTTCGGGAAGGATTTAAAAGGAAAAAAAAACATTGTAGCTTCTCCTTTAAGAAAAAAAAAGCACCGTCGTGTGGCGGGTGAAAGTCGGTGACAAAATGGCGTCCAATGAGGAGAGGCGGGACTTGCGGAGGACGCGCGCATTTCCGCTCTCGCGGCTAGAACTGCGCAGCCGCCGGCCGAGCCGGCATTATGGGAATTGTAGTTTATAGTATATTCATAGTTACGCGTACAAGAGTGAGTCCCATTGGCCACAGCAGGATTTATTCCGAGTAGACATGCATAGAGCTGGGCTGTATGTCTGAAATCCCACATTCTCTTACCTAGGGAGCAGGACCCAGTACATTTAATGGAACCTATTTCTAAATAAGGTTGCACTGGAAAGCATTATAAGGCCAGAATGCATGCTTCTATTGGGATAATTCATTGACCACTCCCAAACGACCAACATGCATATCTGCACCTTGAAGAAGTGCATTCCTCTGTCAAACAGCTCTTACTATCAGAAAGTTCTTCCTGATGTTTAGTTGGAATCTGCTTTCTTGTAACTTATTGTAACATTGAATTTCCAAAACACTTTGTAACTTTTAATTGTAAACCAAATTAAACTCTTAGTCTGAATACCTATTTCTGAGTTTTCTGCCTGCCTCCTTCATATTCATATTTTGTTACAGCCTTAACACTCACACACACAATCCAGAGTTCAGTTCAGTAACAAAAGTAAGCAGAGCCCCATCAGTTGAGCAAGCTGCAAAATAAAAAATAATTTTATTGCAAAGCATTATGATGCTGTTAGGACCAAACTCTGACCTAGAGGCTGTCATTGTGAAAGAAAACAGTCTCATGCTTGAGTTGTATACATGATGGTGCAACTGTTCCCAAGGGATATTTTAAAAACCTTTGTATCACTTTCCATATATGCATGCAATTTTAAAATAATCTCTTGCTACACATTGTGCATGTGCGAGAGTGTACTGTTAAGGAACCAGCCAAGTGGCATTAAAATTGTGTTAGAGAGGAGAGAAGAAGCTGAGACTAGTTTAAAGCCAGGTTAGGAAAACTACTGGCTATGGCCTTCAGGTATACACCTTCAGCTGCTTTAACTTCTGTATGGTACCAAAGATAAGACAGCACACCAAACATGGTTAGATAGTATATAAAATGTTACATAATAACAATTATGATACTTTTTGCTAAATGTAATATTTTCAAAATGTTACAGAGGAGAAGTCATGGCAGTTTGTAACAGCAACAATGTAGTTATTAGGGTGGAATTAAACATTGCACTCAGGCAATCCTTTTGTCAGCAAAAGCATTTCTGCTTCTCAGATGGAAAAATCTCCCTCCACCTGCCTCCCAAGTTGTTCTGGGATTTCACCTGACTCCCCAGGGCTGAGTTGGAGGGGTGCAGGAAAAGGAGGGGGCGTGAAATCCTCTTGCGCTAGCACAACTGTTTGGTTGAATTCGGCCCTAAGTCTTTAAGGTGCAACATGACTTGTTTTTTAAATGTTGACAGAATTGAAGAATTATACTTGTGTTGAGTAATATGCAGTGCTTTTTTTGGGGGGGGGGACGCAGGAGGACGCATACCCCTAAACGTTCTGTGAATCTTTGTACTTTTGTCCATTTACTGTATTTTTCCCTATTTGAACTATAAAATGGTGATTTTCTTGAGTAAAAATGAGAGTATCCCTAAACATTTTTAAGGGAAAAAAAAGCACTGGTAATATGTATGTTTACAGACAACAATTCTATTCAGAAAAATACACGGTTTGAACAGATACTTCCAGGGCTATATGTAAATTTGCATACAATTCCATTGGGAAAGATTCTTCAGGTGTCCCTAATTTCCAGGGTTTCTAGGGACGTCCCTGATTTAGAGAAGCCACGCTGGTTTTTTATTAGATCCCAGAATGTCTCGCTTTTCCTTAGGACGTCCCTGTTTTCATTGGAGAAATGTTGGAGGCTATGAAATTATCCAACCCCTGAACCGTCTGAAGGCAATGCTCTATAGGGAAGGGGTTTTTTTAATGTTTAATGTTTTATTATGTTTTTATATATGTTGGAAGCTGTCCAGAGTGTCTGGGGCAACCCAGTAAGATGTGTGGGGTATAAATAGTAAAATTATCATTATGGAATGGGACGTCCCTATTTTCATTGGAGAAATGTTGGAGGGCATGTCAGGATTTATACAGGAGCATTCCTCCCTCCCCACATGTTTTTTTCTCTCCTGTGGTGTGTCTCTGACACCTAGTGATCAGTTCAAGTAATGCAGATTGTTTTGTCCACTCAGCACCTAAAAGCTGAAAGATACTGGTATGCTTACATACCAAGGGTGTTTCCAGATGGGAGTTCATTGTAGAATCAGTTCTGCTTATGCATGACCTCCCCCCCCCCAGCATCCACTTTATGCCACCATCATAATGCCACATCATCCTTTTTCTTTTTCTTTTTCCATTTATTCTGGGTTTCCCCTCATCACTGAAAAGCCAATAAGCAAAAATAACCAATTGTGCACCTGCAGTCGTTGCTGTTAGCACATTTCCTTCAGTGGGCTGTTTGTCACATGTGTGGTGACATTTCATTGGGAGCCAGTGTGGTGTAGTGGTTAAGAGCGATAGACTCGAAATCTGGGGAACTGGGTTCGCTTCCCCACTCCTCCACATGCAGCTGCTGGGTGACCTTGGGCCAGTCCCACTTCTCTGAAGTCTCTCAGCCCCACTCACCTCACAGAGTGTTTGTTCTGGGGGAGGAAGGGAAAGGAGAATGTTAGCCGCTTTGAGACTCCTTAGGGTAGTGATAAAGCAGGATATCAAACCCAAACTCCTCCTCCTCCTCTTCCTCCTCCTTCTTCTTCTACTACTACTTTCAGTCCCACACACATTTTATACTTTTATGAACTTACAGAGGCTTGCGGAGGCATTTCTGCCAATCTATTCTCTGGCCAACTAGGTCTCTGCAGCAGTCAGCCAGTCCTAATCAAAAGGTGAAGCTATGGCAAAGAGATTCCTTACATGTGTCTCTGGGCAGAAAAAACACACATGTGAGATTTGAGTGTTAGGATTGCCAGTGTTTCAGCCCCTGTTGTCAAGGTTCCCCCTCCTGCTGTTATGAGAGCAGCTCCAGCTTCTGTATAGGACAAGGCAGAAGAAGAGCAGACCTCCTTGCCTGCTGAGGATGCTCGGAAATGTTTCCTTGAAGGCCACACCTCCAAACAGCTCAAAGCACATTTTTGGATGTATGAGGAGGGTATGGTTGCTATTTTGAGCATTTTGTTTTTGAATTAAGATTTATCAAGTGAGAGAGATGGTGGACACAATGTGTCCTTCTTTAATAAATATCGTATTGGCCCAAATATAAGCTGTACCCTAATATAAGCCGCTCCCTTAAAATTCTGCAGGCACTCCCACCCGAAAATGGCAAGTGTAGAAGAAAATCCTATGGGTACTGGAGATGACCCACAAGTGGGTTAAACACCCATTTGTAGCACTGTAAATGCAAATGAAAAAATCAATACTGCACTGTAAAATATGGGGAAAGCAACGAATGACATTAGAATTAATTGCACAACAGTCTCAAGCTTGCAAATTGGCAATAAAACATTTTTTTGTTCCATTTTACCACTTCAGCAGTGATATTGTAAAAGCCATTTTTTGTAAGGTCGCAAATTTAAGCCTCATTTTAACTTTTCACGGTTGGAATTTGGAAAAAAAAGTGCAGCTTATATTCGGGCTAGTACAGTATTTATTCTTCCTTAAGTGTACAGGCAACACACCATTTACAAGTGCTCTATTCACGTGCAACCAGGGGCGGAGGAAGGGGGGTGCAAGGGGTGCGGTTCGCCTCGGGTGTCACCACTGAGGGGGGTGACAAAATGCTGGACAGCACTCACTGCGGGGCCTGCAGCGCACCCGAGCCATGCGTCTCTCCTGGGAGAGACATGGTGGCTTGTGAGCACGCAGGCTCTGAGCTGCCCAAACGGTCTGCCTGCTGCCTCCCTCCCCCCCCCCCCAGCTGTAGGGTGGCTGAGTGGGAAGAGGAAGGCAGACTCTGCAGGCCCCGCGGTGCGCCCCCCCCGCATGCAACTGTGAACATGCATGGTGTGGGATCCCAGAAGCTGATCCCAGAAATGGGGAGCACCCTGGAGATGTTCTCTTTGCCCTGGGAAGGGTCCCCTCGTGAGCCAGGAGGACTCTCTAGGGTGCTCCCAATATACACAATTTCAGTTATATGCATGGAGGTGTAGAACATAACCCCCACATTGGGAGTTGCCTGTATTTCTTTTTGTGAATGGTAAAGAGGACTGGTAGGAGAAATGGTGGGTGACTTCTCCGTGTTGCAGCTTTCAACACTTGTGTATTCTTAAAACTGCAGGATTGTTTTCTCCCTTCTGATGTCATAAATGTGTGCGTGATTCAAGTTTTGAGAAAAGCATGAAGGTTTTGTTTTCTATACGTTGAAAACTGATCTGTTTCTAGCATCCAGCCAGTTTTCCTGCTTTGGTTACCTGTTTGTAATATACTTTTAAACATTTTTTTCATATTAATACTGCTAAGCACTTCTTTTTTAAAAAAACAAAACAAACTTGTCTACTTGACACATTTGTACTTAGAATTTATGTTCTTATTTCTTCTCATTTGAGCAAGTCTCATTTATTTCAAAGAAGCCTTCTTGCCTTTCCTAGTTTCCTCAACTCTTTCCATAACTATGCTAGCCTCTACTTCAGGCATGTCCTAAAAAAACCCTCAACCACCTTGGTCAGCCCTCATGCATGTTCACTTCATCAAATCTGGCCCTCTTTGAAAAAAGTTTGGGCACCCCTGCTCTACTTGGACTTAACATTTTCAAATCTGTGGTATACATTCTAGCTGAGCTTCAGTTACTGTGGTTTTCAATAAGCACTCTGAAGAGATTTGACTCCCTAGACTCGCCCTTTTCAATTTCCTTGCAACTAATCGCTGCAGTTTTGCAATGTTTCCTCTTTTGAAATTAAATGTGGCCTTGCTGGATTCTCTGGCCAACTTGCACTTATATACTGCTAAATTTGATAACATGTCTAAACAGTTCCTTGACCATTCCAAAGCATAGTCATCTATTGTATTTGTTGGCAATTAGTGTACCAAAGGACAGCTCCCCCCCCCCCAAGTTAGATTTGGTGCCAGGGCCTCCAAACACTAGCCCCATAGATCAGATTGATGCCTTCCACACCTTTTGGACTCCAAGTCCCAACAGCCCCAGCCAGCATAGTTGGTGGTATTGGATGATAGGAGCTCTAACCCAACAACATCTAGAAGGCACCATGTTGGGGAAGACTGCCATAATGCTTGGGCACATGTAAATGTGCTTCCAGTTCAGCAGTGTTTCCACTGCATCCCATTTTGTCTCTTGCGGTCCCTTGCACCCACTCACTACCTGCACAGACAAATGCTACCATGCATCTGTGGTGGCAGCTGTGCCACAAAGGATCGAAAGATCCATCAATTCCATTTCTCTCCATTTCTAATTTTTCCAACCATAAATTTAGTTTTTCACATTTCTGCAGTAATTTCCACATTTTAAAAAATCGGCGAATCTAAAAATGCAAATCTCTCCTAGTAAACAGATTTTTGCATACAGTTTTGACTAACGAACACCAAATTTTTGCGAGCATTTTCTCTTAACATAATGCACTTTTGTATGCTCTTTTAATTAATATATGCATTTGTATGCACAGATTCCTCTTTATAACGTGCATTTTTAAAGCGCTGCTGGGTAAGTCTGGATTTTGAAGGAGAGGAGAACTCTTTCTCATTTAGTTTTGGAAAGTGCAAATTAGATGAAACTGGCTTGAAGTACAAACTGAATCGAATTTCCTTCTCCATCCCTGGATGTGCCACTGTGTGTCATGTGAACAGCACAATGCATGAGCACATGCAATCCCTACTGAAATGCATGGCCTATACTGGCTGCCTTTCTGCCACCTTGCTTGGTCAGAAGTCTTTCCCTCTGGCACTCTCTGTGACGCTTAGGGAGACAGCCAACTAGCACAGGCAAGCAGCAGGCCAGCGTTAAAACCAGTGGAGTGCCAGCTTAGAAGGATGGGAAGGTGGGGTACCTCTGGAGGAGTGGGCGGGGGATACTGTTACACAAACACACACACAGCATTCATTCATTCATTCATTCATTCATTCATTGTAAAGAATTTCTAAACAGCTTACTACTGTATTGGCCCAAATATAAGCCACACCTGCAAATAAGCCGCACCTCTAAAATTCAAGGGGGGGGGCATGAAAAAAAGACAATACCCAAATATAAGCCGCTCCCTTAAAATTGGGTTACAGGCTGAAAATTGCTACAATTCCGCAGGCACTCACACCCATTAAAGGCAAATGAACAGTCTCAAGCTCGCAAATCAGCAATAAAACATTTTTTTGTTCCGTTTTACCGTATGTCTGTTTCAGCAGAGATATCGTAAAAGCCAATTTTTGTAAGGTCATGAATTTAAGCTGCACTTTAATTTTCATGGTCGGAATCTGGAAAAAAGTGCATCGACTATTCAGGCCAATATACAAGATTACATAAAAACAATAAAACAATATCATAAAAACAGAAAAACAGCGCCCACTGCCTTGGGATGGCCATTTCATTCTACCTAAAGGTGCAGCCGGGGACACAGGTGGTGCTGTGGTCTAAACCATGGAGCCTCTTGGGCTTGCCGATCAGAAGTTTGGCGGTTCAAATCCCCACTCTGGGGTGAGCTCCAGTTGCTCTGTCCCAGTTCCTGCCAACCTAGCGGTTCGAAAGCACGTCAAAGTGCAAGTAGATAAATAGGTACCGCTCCAGTAGAAAGGTAAATGGCATTTCCGTGCGCTGCTCTGGTTTCGGTGTTCCATGGCACCAGAAGCAGCTTAGTCATGTTGGCCACATGACCCGGAAAAACTGTCTGTGGACAAACGCCGGCTCCCTCAGCCTGTAAAGCAAGATGAGCGCCACAACCCCAGAGTCGTCTGTGACTGGACTTAACTGTCAGGGGTCCTTTAGCTTTACCTTTTTAAAGGTGCAGCCAAGCCCTGCATTTTCCAAAGATGTGGTGGAAAATGTATAACTGATGCCTTTTACTTTTCAGCACCTGTTAAGTGTTAACCTCAGTTATTAACTTATTCTGAGCCAGGTCATTATCCGATTCTGAAGAGATTCATGGGGTATGTTACAATCTGCCTGATGCAACAGGGCACACACCAAATCTACAGGAAAGATCTCACAAAACAGCCACGTCAGATTTGCATAAGCTTGGATTGCTGTCTCTTCCTGTTCAGCTATGTTGAGTACATTTTTTAGCTGCGCAAAATGTGACTCGCAGGGGGGAAAGAACCGTTCAGCTTCTAAAGAAAGGAAGTACGGCTAGAGAGAGGAACTGAAAAAGTCTGCACGAATTGCGGTCCCGCTCACTCACCATCTTGTTCATTTCCCCTTCAGTTCCAAGACCCAACAAACCTGTCTCTGTGTAGGGGATCCTTTGAGCTGTCTTGCAGAGAGAAGACACCGTATGCGGATATAGGCAATGGATGATTTCGGTAAGTAACTCTTTCGCATTATACCAAAACAGCAAGGACTGACATGGTGCAGAAAGCACAAGAAGATTGCACACTATTTCATCTTTTCTTTTATGGAGGGCGAGGGAACAGGGAGAATTGAAGATGTGAAGAGATTGAACACCGACTGTTGAGATGACACAGTTCCATCTGGCAGAGACTTTGTGCCTTTAACATTCACAGCTACATGACAGGTAAGAATTCAGCAGGTACAGCTTTTTCCATAACAAGAAAAAAGAAGGTGAAGAAAAAAGAGCTGTAGATGTTGAATTTCTACCTCTCGGACAGCTGTTAAAAGCACACAGACTTTCTTTACAGAAAAGCACCAGCCTTATTTGAGTCACTGGTGTTCCAGAAGGAAGAGCTCAAGCTAGGACAGAGGAACTTGAATAAATTTGAGGAATGGAGAACCAAGGATCCACAGCATACCTTTAAATCTCATTCAAAGCACATTTAAAACCCATGATTTCTCCCAAGAATCCTGGGAACTGTAGTTCATTAAGGGTGCTGGGAATTGTAGCTCTGTGAGGGGAAAACTTTATCCAAAGAGATGAAAGAAGCTTGTCCTTGTTAGTTTCCAATATACAGTGGTACCTCGGGTTAAGTACTTAATTCGTTCCGGAGGTCTGTTCTTAACCTGAAACTTTTTTTAACCTGAAGCACCACTTTAGCTAATGGGGCCTTCTGCTGCCGCTGCACCACCAGAGCACAATTTTTGTTCTCATCCTGAAGCAAAGTTCTTAACCCGAGGTACTATTTCTGAGTTAGCGGATTCTGTAACCTGAAGTGTATGTAACTTGAAGCGTCTGTAACCAGAGATACCACTGTATGGCGTTTGCAAAAGGTGATACATTAGAAAGATAATGGTTGGTAAGGCAGTAGAAAGAAGAGGAATGGTTAGAGAAACCTGTGGTTGCAAACGACATCTGAACAAATTTATATGGAAAATAGGGGAGAACATTTTTTAGAAATTATTAGCAGTTTTGAATTCTAGAAGATTCTAGATTGTGCTGGATACATGCAGAAAGGATATCTTTCTCTTTCACTGTGGTCTCACATTTAATTCTATCATCCTTCCCTTCCCATATCTCACTTCCTTTTGTGCATCAGAGCTACTGCCATAAATGGGTAATCCTCTGTGTGTGGGTAGGTGCACTCGCACACGCATACAATAAAAGCCACAAATCAATGTGGTGGGTCAGAGAGATGCAGCATAATGTAATGAAGAATAAAACAGAATTAAGCACAACCAATTACAAGTGACTTAATAAACTTGGTTATTGACTCTTAAAATGGCATAATTACCAAGATCAGATCAGACTCCAATTTGTCTAGGTTTGATTTTCCATCATAACAATTTTTAATTTCAGTTTGTACTGAAATTGGCCATAATGAAAAATACATGCGTAAAAATGAGATAATTGAACCATTCAGGCTTCTGCAATAATACATTGCCTGTTGAACTTGTGGAATATGGTTCATGCCTTTAAAAGGTGGCAACTTTTGTCCTTTATTTGACATTCCTTTGTGTTATTTGAATCTAAGTAGATGTAAGTTTGAGGTCTTTGTTAGGCCATATGACAACGATCTTTCCTTTCCGCGAGAGGAGGTGTCTGAACAACAACCTTGTGGCTCTCACTTTTCTGATTTTGGACACTTCATTTCATGAGAGAGAAAAGCCACCGGATATTATAACTACATCTTTTAAAGGTGAAATTATGTGTCATGTACAACACACTAAAGGAAGCAGAAATTAGGGCAAGGAGAAAGGCTATTGAAAGCTCCTCCCACAGATGAGACAATTGTGCTTCCTGAGAGCAAAGTATGTACTAGAGGAAGCCAGCAAGTATTAATAGCTCTCTTTGAAGGTGCACCTAGGACAGAAGATGTACTGAATTGGGCTGGGCACTGTATAAATAGGTGGCACATAGCCCAAGAGCGTCTGTGAGACAACTGTACGTGTGTCAGCACAAGAGAGATGCAAGGCAAAGAAAGAGAATACATATACTGATTTATCAAACTTCTGTTTCAAGCTGTTCCACAAGTTCAAGAAAAGAGGCATCCAGGGCCAAATCCACACCTTACATTTAAAGCACTATTATACCATATTAACAGTCATTGCTTCCCACAAAGAATCCTGGAAACTATAGTTCATTAAGGATTCTGAAAGTTGTTAGAAAGCCCCCATTCTCATCTTGGCACACTCAGCTATAGCTCCCAGGATGCTTTGGGGGAAGCCATGAGTTGAAAAGGTATACTGTATAGTGGTACCATGGCTCTCAAACTTAATCCGTTCCGGAAATCCATTCCAAAACCAAAGCGTTCCAAAACCAAGGCGTGCTTTTCCATAGAAAGTAATGCAAAATGGATTAATCCATTCCAGACTTTTAAAAACAACCTCTAAAACAGCAATTTAACATGAATTTTAATATCTAACAAGACTATTGATCCATAAAACAATGTACTGCAGCCACACAATCAATCAATCAATCAATCAATCAATCAATAGCTGAACTGGGTTCCACATAGTCACAAAAACAAAACGAAAAAGCCACAAAAATGCAAAATAAATAGCAAAACCAGACAGACCTCAGCATAACACTCAAATTGGAAGCTTAACACTCAAAATGGAGCCCATTTGGCTTCCAAAAAAGGTTCGCAAACTGGAACACTTACTTCTGGGTTTACAGTGTTTGGGTTCCAAGTTGTTTGAGTACCAAGGCTTTTGAGAACCAAGGTACCACTGCACCAATGCTTTAAATGTATGGTGTGGATGTTGGCAGTGGGCATGATAGGGGCAGGAAGAGAGGATGAACGATGGGAATGACAAAATTTAAACTATAATCATTTTGTTCAGATGCTTTGTTGGCAGAACTGGAACAAACCTCAGCAAGTTTAACTGTGAGTGATCCAGTAACGTCAAAGGGATACTTTCTTCTGGAACGTGACAACAAGGAGAAACCGGCGACGGCAGCAGCAGAGACCAATGTCATCCAGAAGAAGAAACCAGTTGCCCCAGCCAAGAAGGTATTCTCCTTAAGCTGTTTACCTCCTTAGCAAGTTGCAGGTTAATTCAGCTTTTCAAGATGAATTACACTGGGGTGACTACACTTTGGGGGGCTTTGGGAGACATCCCCGGCTTCCAAGCCCTCCAGGTGCCAAATGCCAGTGATAGGAACGGCCACCCCACAAGAGACATGTACACCACACACACACCAGAGCACACACAGTCAGCAACACACTCAGAAACACCCAGATCCTGATCCTGGCACTGGGATGGGTGGAGAGGTTTCAGTTTCTCTGCTCATCCCAGGGCCAGGGTGAGGATGCAGATCCTCCTTCACTCTGCTTACCAGATAATTGATCTGGTTGTGGTGAGTGGAGGAGAGGGAATGATCTGTATCGCGGTCTTGCATGAGTCATCTAGGCTTCCCAAACATTGCAGAAATGACACTTCATAAGGAGCATCAGAAAATCAGTTCAGCATTTTGTTTGTTTGTTTGCTTGCTTGCTTGTTTGTTTTCCCTGCACTCCCAGAGTACAGGGAGTCTTGGGGAGGCACACACACACACACACACACACACACACACACACAGCTTAACAGGCTGGGTATGGCTTGCAGCTCACAGGGGAACCACATGACAGTTTGTGTCCCCAGCAGACAATCCACTCCAGTTTTTGGCTTAATCCACCACATTACTGCCATTTTTCACCTAGTCCAGAGTTTGGGTAAAAGCACTTTGTCTTATATATGGTGGGGGGGGGGGATCACAAAATGTGGCTAACCCATAAAAAGTCCATTAAGTTGCAAAACACAGACTAAAGACCTACCTGACGACCTCAGAAAACTGAACCCCTTTCAGCAAATCAGCTATATTTGTAGAGTCAAAGTTTATAAAAGTCAAAGTTTATTTTTTGTTGCAACCATCCTGATCATTTCAGCCAAAAAGGAAATGAAACTATACATAACTATACATAACTATACATTGGTAGAGTCATAAAGCTACACACATGGTTTGCATATATTGTATAAGTCCCCAAGTTTCAACTCTGGTTAGAGCAGGGGTAGGGAACCTATGGCCTTCCAGATGTTTTTGGATGACAACTCCATCACCCCTGACCATGGGCCATGCTGGCTTGGGCTGTTGGGAGTTGGAGTCTAACAACATCAGGAAGGCCACATTTTCCACACCCTGGGGTTTAAGCACCACAGGTAGCAGCCTGGGAAAGACCTCTGCCCCTGGTTCTGGAAACCTGCTCACTGAGCTATAGTGGACTTGAGAAGCCTTTGGCTTGATTCAGTTTACAGCAGCTCCTCAAACTGCATATATCCTTTCACACATGAGACTTCCCAGTCTGGAGACTGTTGCATAGCATGGCTGCCCCGATCCTATGCTGTGATGATCCAGTTGTCTGCTTTTCTCTCCTCTGTGTTTTGAATATAATTGAATACTTTGCAGCAGTAACAGGAGATAAGGGCAGTCAAGAGGTATGGGAGAAAATATATTTGAGATCTGGTCCAAAGTCTTCTAAAATAGGAGCTGGCTTCACACTGGGAGATGGCAACTTAACTATAAAGCAGCTCAAGAGAAACAGAGGAGAGTAACCATTTCTGTTGGTTCTATGCTTTTCAGAACTGGTTGATACAGGATAACAGCCAATATTGGAGAGAAGCATATGACTGGGTGGATTTGAGGGGAGACAGTGTCCTTTTTGTATATCTTCTCTTGTGTATATTCACAGTAAGAGCTGTTTGACAGTGGAATTTGCTGCCAAGGAGTGTGGTGGAGTCTCCTTCTTTGGAGGTCTTTAAGCAGAGGCTTGACAACCATATGTCAGGAGTGCTCTGATGGTGTTTCCTGCTTGGCAGGGGGTTGGACTCGATGGCCCTTGTGGTCTCTTCCAACTCTATGATTCTATGATTCTAGGTGCCACCAGCACATGATGTTCAACGCCACGAAGAAGATGCAGACCATATTTACAGGTAAATGAACACTGAATCAGGAACGCAGGTTACACGGCTCACTTGTGCTGCATGTTTTTGTTGTTGTTGTTGTTGTTTTTTGAGAGAAGCCTTCCACAGATAATGGATCAAAACTGTATGGCATGTAAACTTTTGCTCTCTTAATGCTTAGTTAACATTGCATCAAAGGCTACCAGAAATGGTCACTGGTAAAAGGCAAGCTTATCTCCATTCATATGCATACATATGCATCTATACCATACCACAACCCCAGAAGTAAGTTTTATAACACAAAAATAACTGTTGAATGGCTTCGAGGAGCTTGCTTCTCCACAATCTGCCAGAAAGAACAATCTGTTGGTTGCCCTGGGGCTGAGAGCTGAAGGAAAGCACACTTTGGCTCCACCCATTGTGTTGGGTCTGAGGAGAAGCTTGTGCATCTCATATACGTTCTTAACACAAAAAGGGGGAACCAAACAGAGAGGCCTGTCTGTTCATATAGTCCTTTTATCATTCTTATTCCAGAGCTTTAAATGTCCCAGTCGGTGATATAAACTTTTCTGAAACTCTTGAACGTTAATAAGGACAGGTTGATTCATTTAAGCATAGCATGATTATTTTTCAGAATGGGGAATCGTGCCAGCATTTTAAGCAGAAGGAACATTCTCTCGTACTACTCATATGCCTGATTTTACATGCATTGTGTGTCAGGGGAACCTGGGCTGGAAATTTTCCCCATTTCCAAGAACCCTCAAGCAAATCACAAAGTATAATTTTTGGACTCCAAAGAAGGTGAAAATTCCTCTTGGAAAAAAACAACTCAGCTTATTAGCTATAATTCATATATAATATTGTCTGTATTTAACTAGATAATGGTATCAGGCTGGCTTCAGGTCAAGGGTATCCAGCATGGGCAATGGCCAGGGATGAAGAGAGTTGTAGTTCAACAGCAAGAGGCTACCATGTTGGCTACCCCCCTGCTTTAGATGTATGAATTTAGCGAAGAAAGTGAGGGATGAGATTAGATTTGTTGCAACTTGAACTTCTTCCGTATGGTTGGATGTATATAGGGGTGGGGAGAGATGAGCCATGCTATATGTGGTCTGTGTGATTTATCCCAAGGTGGACTGAGACACCCCCACTGGCAGCATCTCTTGAAAAATGGAGGGAATCAGTGGGAGGGCAGATACTGCTGCCATATGGCTTTCCTGAATCAGATACAGTACACGGAATTGATGCACCAATTGTGGAATGAGGATGTGGGAGAGTTTTTCTTTAAAAGGATCTCATGCACATTGTAGCAGCAGTGAGTAGCTTCCTGGTATGTGGGTCATTGTTGCTTACCGGGAAGCAGAAGGTCAAAGTGGTGGGGAGGTCAGTGTGGTGCAAATGCACTGGCAGACCCAATTTAGTGCTCCTGCTGGTGCATTTGCAATGTGCCAACCTACCTGTCCTTCCACATCTCCTGGTAAGTAATGATGGCCCACCTGCTAGGAAGCTAGCGTAGTGACTCCACCCCTACCCAGTGATCCATTTCTGCCTTCTAAGTTTTTGAGGTTGGTAGCAGTTAAGGAGTAGCCAGGGTTGGGGTCTATGTGTGAACATGCATGATGGACAAAGGGAACATGGTTCATTGTAGAATTTTAAGAATGTCCTTCCTCCTTTCCTTCAGTCATAAATTTGGCTTTCTATTCCCTCTAGCAAAGTGCAGACTCCACAGCCAGCGCTCTCTTCGTCTTCATTCACCACACCTGCTCAACAGTTGGATGAACTTTTGGCTTGCTTGGGAACAATCCAGGACAAGGTGAGTCACAGACCCGGCTGACCCTCTGCAGGAGAAACAACAGCAGTTTCTGTGAAATGATAGTGAAGAGCCAAGGCTGTTCCTAAGGAATGCTTAATGTTTTTTGTGGTTATTGTATTAGCCATAGCAAATTAAGAGCAGAAGTTACATTCCCATCTCCAGCTTAGGCAGAAGAAAAACTAAGGCAGAAGACAGGGTGCAATAAAAATTAACAGAAGGTGTAGGTTGTGTGGGGAGAGGGGACACTTCTGTGGGACAAGATAGAAAAGGTTCATGCATGGTGATCCAGGAAAAGCTTTGTAGAATAAGTGAGATTTGGGAGTTTTAAGTGGAGAGGGAGAGGAAACTTGAGTAATACAGAAGATGAGAGTATTTTTTATGTATAGGGAGGAAGATTTGTGGCACTGTTAAAGTTCACCATGTTGAGTATATCTATCTATCTCCTCTTTTGCTGTTATGTATTATTTGCTGGTTTTACTGTGCTTGATGTGTTATCACTTTATTTTTTCCATTGTTAACCACTTTTGAGTTATTGATAAGAAAAGTGGAGGGCGCTTTTTTTAAATAAAAAAGTAAATAGAAATAAATGAATGAAAAAGTGAAAGCCCAAATCATTTGCTTTTCTGCAGATCTCAGATGGGAAGGAAGGTCCTGAGAAGCCATCACCAGCCAAACAGAATACCATTGACAACCTAGACAGCATGTTGCAGGGCCTGACACATGATATGCAGGACCTTGGTGTTGCCACTGTGGCCAAGGGCCACTGTGCTTCCTGCCACAAACTCATCGTTGGAAAGGTAGGAGAGGGAGAGAGACAGAGAGAGAATTGACCTCTCCGGTAGTTTTCAGGCCCACTGGGTTAGAGGTTTGTTATGAACGACCAATGGTTTGTCACATATCTGCTTTGTGAAGTGTTTGGTTTGCCTCAGATAGAAGGAAGGGATTTCTTCTCCTGCAGATTGGCCATTTAATGTCTGCCACATATTGCTGAGGGTCCTGCCCTCTCAACCCAAAGTGATCCTGTGGTGCACTGAGCAATGTGGGGCGTGTTGATTAGAAACATGGACCCGTGACAAACATCTGAGAGACATCCTGTTGGAATGGGACGTGTGCCTCTAAACTCTCCTGCTGGTTTCTAGGTAATTACAGCGCTGGGAAAGACGTGGCACCCTGAACACTTCACCTGTGCCCATTGTGGAAAGGAAGTGAGCTCTATCCCCTTCTACGAGCGGGACAGCAAGGCCTACTGCCCCGAAGACTACCACGATCTCTTCTCTCCTCACTGCGCTTACTGTGCTGCACCAATCAAGGAGGTATGTCATGTTAGCCTCACCTTCTGACTGCTATTGCTCCCTTTGATTTGACTCGATTATTGACTTTCTGTATCACTTAATGTATTAAGGAATATCTCTAAGCAGTGTACAAAAAACTGAAGCACCAACAGACAACTCAAACAAAATATTGCAAAAATACAGAGTTACATATAAAATTTTTACATCAACACACACGCACACACACCATTCTCTCTCTCTCTCTCTCTGTCTCTCTCTCTCTCTCTCTTTCCTACTGGCACACCCTCCCTCTCAGCCTCTGGGTCCACACCCAGGGTCCAAACAAACTCTTGGTCCACCTACAAAAGTCTCACATCAAGAAGAGTTCCTGGAAACAGCAGACATCGCCCTAGTCTCTCACTCTAGACTTGTTTCTTTGGGCAGGCCCAAGGTGGATGGTACTTCCTCAGGCTTCCGCACCCAGTTCCGGGTGTGCAGCAGGTTTGTTGAGTTTCCAGGGGGTGATTTCTTTCATCAATGAAGAACATACAAATAGGGACTTAAAGTGAACAGGATTTGGGCAGTTGTAGAGTTCTATACCACCCAATGGCCCCCAAAGGTGTGTGGAGTGGGGGTGATTGTTTTCGTTTGCTACTATGCTAGGCATTTTTGTGTTTTAATACTGTAAACTATAATACTGTGAATCCTCAGATGAAGAATAGTATGGAAATTTTAATAGTAGTAGTAGTAGTAGTAGTAGTAGTAATAGGGGGCCCTCCACTCACATCTCTTTCTTCACCCGCTCTCTCCTCCTCCTTTTCTTTGCAGAAAATCCTCACAGCCATGGATCGCACCTGGCACCCAGAGCATTTCTTCTGTGCTCACTGTGGGAAAGTGTTTGGCAATGATGGTATGTCTTCTTCATCTCCTTCAGCCCCTGCCCCTTCCCTCAGCTATTCCGTGCTTGCTTGCACCATAGAAATCCCTACAATTTGTGCCCTTTCAATCTTCACTTGCTGCTCCCTGCCATTTGAAACCTCCCTTTCCCACCCCACCTTCTCTTTCAGCCAGACTAAAATCTGCTAAATCACAATTGTTTTCTGCAAAATCCTAACTATTCTTCACCAGGGAGCAATTCTCGTTGAGCTCAGTGGGACTTGCTTCTGAGTAAACATGCTTAGGATTGCATTGTGTTGCATTTTGGTATAAGGGAGGCCGGAGTACTCTTTCCACAGAGCTGCCAAGACATCCTGCAGCTGCCTGTCATACCAATGCATACATTCAAAAGTATGTTATATTTGGGGTAATTGCTTGGAAGAATGTGTTTGATTGACAGAATTGTATTAAAAATGTGCATATTGGAAGAAGCACACACTAAAATATCAATGAAATTAACTTAAGATGGGAAACAGAGAAATCAAAATTGGCAGATTTGTTTGTCCCCACTCTAAAGCATTTTCATTCACATTGATCTCAATGGGAGAGGTATGCTTTACTGTCCCACTGAAACCAATGAGGCAAGTTAAGTGCTTAATTTTGATTGAATCATCACCCTGGTATTTAGTATAAGTACTAAAGCCTCTTGGTGTGACCCCAGAAGCCTGGCTAAAAGCAGAAGCAACTCAGTCACCTCTTCAGGGGTGTTAAACTAATACGTTGAGATGACCAGAGTGTTTATGGAATTATTGTAACTCTTTCAAAAAGACCTGAAGCTGTAAAAACACTGTGTTGGTTCAAGACGTGGGCATGCTTAGAGGAGACTATTGAAATCAGTGGGACAAATGAGTCAGAAGTATGTCTGGATCCAATGCAGTACATAGAAGTCACCCATAATGTGCTCAACTTGACCTGACATAAGAACCAGCCAGGATTCATGAGTGACAACTTGTTGGCTAAAACATGCATCACTCTTTCTAAGTTGTGATCTGTAAGAGACTGTTTTGGGAATTCTATAGTGACTCAGAGTCACTATGGTATCAGCATTCTACCAAAGCATCACTGTTCTCATTGAAAGCTTGTGTCTGTGTCCTAGGAGGAAGTCAGTGCATTGTGGCTTATTATTTCCTTCTCTGAATAACCATCAGAAAAGCATAAACACACTTGTGCTCACTGTGGGACTTTTGATCACAGACTGGCTCTGATGTGCTCCCAGGAGCCCAGCTCCAGTAATTGGCCCCCAAGTGGGTTAACTGAGCACATAGTGGTGAGCTCAAGTCCCCAGACTGCTAATTATAACTAGAGCGCAGAAAGTTTTGTGGGTGAATTTAGAGTCTGATTCGTCCCTGAACTCTGTGGATTGGTTCCTTTTGCCAGCTCATGGCAACCATTCTTTGCCATTGGAATGGCTTCTCCTGAAAACACCCCAGTGTTATTGCTTCACACTATTAGAAGCAACTTTGAGAAATGTGCTAGCGTTGCAACAGTTTCTTAATCCTTGGCGTGACGATGGCTCAGCTTCCGTTGCTTGCTTTGAGCAATTATGGATTGATGAGCTGTAAGCATTTTAGGGGAACTGTCACTGCAAGAGTTTAGCAAAGCACTGTGTGATCCTATTGTTGCAACTGGCCTATGACTGTACCAGATTATTCTTGGAATCAGTATGGATTAGTGCAGTTTAGCTGGCCAGCAGCACGAACAGCCTGATCTGCTTGGATGAGTTGTTGCATTTTGTTTTTAGGGAGGAAAAGAGCAGCCTGCCTAGAACCTGAGTACTCTAATTTCCCAATAATTAACATGCTTTAGTTGTGAAAAATATATTTGAGCCCAGGTGGACTGCTTAGAATTTTCTGCTGAAATGTGGAGTGGTCTATTAAGTAAATAAACAATACGTTCCCAAGACAAACCATGAACCAGACAGATCAGTTGAAGGAATTTCGATCACAAGGACCTGTTGAGTACTTAATGTTTCCAAGGGAGGCACCCCGGGGAGTAAAACACCCAAGGTAAACTAGACATTGCTTACTGGGCCCATGCAGAAAAACCATTCGGCAGAAGCTGATCACATTCAGCCTTTTGATGTTGATTTGACTGGAAGGTAGTGGGTCAAAATCCCAATGAAGGCAAGAATAAGACCATGGGCGGAATTCAAGTAACAGACCCATTTGCAGTAGGGCTTCCACTTGCGCAGTGGGGCTTCTCCTTCTCTCCTACCCCCAGCCCCCTGAAATTGGCTTGGGGAAACCCCAGAACAGCACCAGAGGGGGGAAGATTGTTCCATCTGATAAGGTGATATACTTGCACAGATGGATTGTTTGTAATAGTGTGACGTTGAATTCCACCCCCTTGGCTCGACATTGTACTCTTCATGTGAAAGGGAGCCACCTACAAGGCTGATTCTGACCACTGAGAAGACAGGCAGAGAAAGGCTGAGGGGATCAAAGTGCAGCTGACCACCTTTTTGCAGTGAAGGAGGGACGCTTATTTTCTAGAGGGGTTCTGAGAAGAGACACTTATCTGCTAAAGAGAGAGGAGATAATCTGCTAAAGAGAGAGGAGATAATCATAGATAAACATTGGTTGGGTGATGTCAAATCTTCACCAGTGGGATGGGGGAGCCCCAGAACAGCAAGTGGGACAAGAAGATTTGATTGTGCTGATGGAATAATCTTATTGCTACGTTGAATACAAACCATGGTATGCTGTTCCTCTTCTCTAAAAGCTCTATCTCCCCATACTTACTCTACAGGTTTCCAAGAGAAGGATGGGAAGCCATATTGCCAAAAGGATTTCATGGCCCTTTTTTCTTCCAAGTGCAAAGGCTGTGACAAGCCTGTGATGAATCAGTATCTGTCAGCACTGAATGCTGTCTGGCACTCTGAGTGCTTTGTGTGTGGGGTAAGTAAATGCAAAATAGCCTGCTCCAGTTAGAGGTCATTCTGGGTTGCTGGGCGGAAAACTTATATACGCCACGAAACTTGTATTGAGGAGGTTGCTAACAGAACCAAGAATTATGAAGTCCAGACAGAGTTCAGATAGGATTTAGCTGCAATCCTGCATGCAGTTAGGTTGGTTAAATCCCCAAAACATGATTCATTCCTTTGTTTGAAAAAATGTATGTTGCTCCTCACTGAATTTGATTCCAGGGCAGGTAACAAAATTAAAATATCAATAAAACAATAAATCTCCAAAATAAAAACAAATAAGCAATGACTTTAATGGGTTTAAAGAGTCGGTGTGCAGGACGATAGCCCTTTCCAAAATAGAAAACTGTCAAAGCTCTTTGAACTGCAAAGTTCAGGTTTTATTCTTCATTAAATTTTTATTAAGATTTTCTTAATAAGATTTTATTAAGATTAAGACAGTGAAATGACAACTACAGAAAATACAAATCAAAGAAGTAAAAGACAGCGTTAAAAGTAATTCTTGCCCCTTACCATACACAGAGGACAGTAGCTTATTCCAACCCTCACCTGGAATATTTCCTTTCTCCTCTATACTCTCACCCTGGGAGACCAATATTTCCTGTCTCTCATCCAGGGTCCTCCATCAACCCATATATCACCCCCATGAGTATACAATCTCTGGACCTTAATAAAGGCCCTACACATAGGACTCTAAAGAGAGAAGAAAAAGAAGAAAAACAAAGGAGAAACAGAAAAAAGAAAGAAAGGGACAACAGAAAGAAAGAAAAGAAAAAGAGAGAAGAGTAAAATAAAAAAGATAAAAGAAACAGAAAAACATTCTAAAAGAAAAGCAAAGTTCAGATTTTAAAAACCAAATCGTGAAAACAAAAAATTGATTTGCAGAATTTAAATACTAGTTGCATACTGTACCACACCCTGAACTGCCAGATTCCTAAGCATCCTTCAAGTGATTCCTGGTCCATGCCTCTAGCCCCACCCACAGACTTCCATGTGTTGGTGCAGACATCCTCACTACAGAAACCTGTGCATGAGCAGCTGCTTCTTTGTGTGAAGGCTTCTTCTGTGCAGGCATCTGTGGATGTCCATAAGTGGGGCCTCCACTAGGCTCCATTGTCAGGAGCAGGGCCTGCAGTGCACGCCCACTCCCTGCTTATCACAATTCATATGTGAAGGGGGATCTTGTTTAGATCAAAAGAAAACAGAATGTTTCTATTTTAAAACTCAAATTTTCATTTTTCAAAAATAATAATAAAGAAACAAGAGCAGAATTATTTTTGATGGGGAAACTGCAAATGCTGACAAATGTGGACTCTATAAAGCACTAAATATGAACTACAAAGCTGAAAATTTGATTTAAAGCAAGAACCAAAACACAAACGTGAAGAACTTATTTCAAAACAGTAGCTGACGGGTGATGGTCATGATAACTCTATCCAGACTCTGTACAGTATGCTGACTGGCTTGTTCTTATGTAAATCCCGGAAATAGTTATTTTCTGATGCCCTAACACAGGCTTCCTCTGCTTTCAGGACTGTTATTGCAGCTTTCAAGATGGTTCCTTCTTTGAATTAAACGGACGTCCCTATTGTGAGCTTCACTACCACCACCACCAGGGAACAGTGTGCTTTGGTTGTGGGAAGCCCATTGTTGGGCGCTGTGTCAGTGCCATGGGGCACAAATTCCACCCAGAGCACTTTGTCTGTGCCTTTTGCCTCACCCAGTTGCACAATGGCATCTTCCAGGAGCAGAATGGCAAGACCTACTGCCACACCTGCTTTAACAAACTCTTTGTCTGACCAGAAGCCGCAGGGAGCCTATTTCTTCTCTCAGGCCTTTGCATGAGAAACAGGCAAGGGCAAAAACGATTTTGAAGGGGCAAAGGCTGCAATCCTGGGCCCACTTACTTGAGAGGGAGTTCCACTGAACATAATAGGACTTACTCCTGGGTAAAGAAGCATAGGATTAAGCTGTAAGAAATGCAGTGATGGAAATATGCTGCTGCAGCAATATCCATCAATGCACCTAACAGCTTCAACACACCCAGATCCTCAACTGCGAGCCAATTGCTCTACTCCACTGCGTTTCAAACAACTTTTGCCAGCTTACAGTAGTTTATCAGAAACAGTAGCCTCTAAGTAATATTGGCTCTTCATCCCGTATCCTTTCTTACTGGCAATAGCAAGTATTTTATTTACTCTTTGAAAAAAATATCCATCTACACAAAACATATTCCACTGATATGTGTTATTTACTGTGCAATCCTATGTATGCCTATTCAGAAGTAAGTTCCACTTGGATTTACTCCAAGGTAAATGTGTATATGTTTGTACCCAGGCAAACCAATCCTATTCACTAATTGTGTCAGATAATTGAGATACACACTAGAGGAGAGCAACAACCATACCCTCCTCCCAAAGCCCACTGAACAGGGACTGTGCCAGCAGCAATGCCCACATGCCACCCAAAGAGGTGTGATGGTGGTGAATATCATATAGTTGTGCATTACACATTTGCACTTTTGATTGGCAGGAGTACCATGCACAGGCAAACCTGGCTGCCCCCATTTTGCTAACCTGCTGAATCTCACACGTGTGTACAAGCTCTCTTTCTCCAATTCATTAGAATAGCTTCCTATCTTAGAATACTCCCCGTGTTTTTCAAGGACACTGTGCTGGATGCCTAGATATTTTTAACATGTTGTTTGTAAGTGAATAGGTAGCATGCACTGAAAAATAAACATCACTTTTCTATTGGTAATATGAGTGCTTCTTTGCGTTCCAGGACTCTCTTTGATATAGTTTAGTTCTTGTGTGTATCACATAGGGATCATGGTTGCTTCAAGTGAGGATTTGAATAAGGGATGGGGGAAAATTTATTTCAATTCATATTTGAAGTTGAAGCTGCCTAATTCACACTTTGTGAATTGCTATGCAAACTTAAACCTAGTCATCCTTTAGAATTCATGCTTCACTGAATATTCCAATGCAGTTCTCCAGCCAAGGAATGTGTACAAAAATACATATATTACAGAAAACAGCATAGAGAAAATGCATTATATTAGGCAAGAGTGCTTGCAAAATGTTTATATTAGAAGAAATTCACACTAAAATGGTGATGAATTTTCATAAAGACTTTTCCCCCCCAAAAATTCAGATGATGTGGAAATGTGGAAAACTGAATTTAAGATTGGAAAAATGAGAAACTGAGAGAAACTGAAATTGACAGATTCTTCCATCCCTAATCTGAGTTAGCAAGTACTTACAGGGGCCTTATCGATTTATTAGCAAAACAATATCATGGTGGACAGAAGAAAATTAACAAAATTACATTCATACCAGGGTTGCACCTCTGTAAACTTCCATGCAGGGCTGACTTTAAGGTTTCTAGAGCACAAAAATAACAAGAGAATATGGCTAGTCAGTGCCAACAATGGCAACTCTTCCCAGTAGGTCTTGCCCCCAATGAAGCAGTTGCAAGGTCTGAGGCCCCCACCTTCCCATCACTCTCTAAGGCTCCTCCTCTCCAGGGTCTTTCCCAAGCAGTTGCAAACTGTGTCTGCACACAGCCAATCTCTGCTCTGCTCTTTTCATTTCTCAGCATGATCTAGGAGACCAGTGGGGAGGAGAGCTGGTCGTAGCAAAAGGGAAAGACTCCCTAGATTCTTCAGCAGCCTGTCTCAACTCTGCCTCTTGGCCAACCTCCTCTCCAGCCTCTGCTTCAGCCTTGAAGACTGAACTGCTCTCTGCCACAGCCTCTTCCTGCTCACCACACCCTGTTACCTCTTCTGCTTCCGACACCTCTTCCTCTCAGTCTTCTTCCTCTTCTCCTACTGACCACTCATTGTTGTCCCACCACCAGTTCCCTGGCTCTGAGCCTTCTTCCCTTGGGAGTTCCCCGGCTGGTGCCTCCCACCCCTCCTCTGCATCCTGCCAGTACGTGGCATTTCCCCACAAAGCAGCATGATTTCTTATTAAATAGGCAATGTTATCTAATCTCCCTGCCAAAAAACCCAACTCACACACATTGATTGCTTGAGAAACAAGTTAGCTGGAAACACCCAAGTCGACAAGCTGACAACCTTCTTTTTGCACTTTATTATTTTTAATTTTTCTGCCTCCTTCCCCCTTTGTTTTGTATCACATCTCTGCCAGATGAAAAGCTCTGGAGAACTCAAAAGCTTGCCATGCTTTTGTGACATTATGGTTGATCCCAGTATAAGTGTTGCCCAACTGTGGAAAAGAAGTGTCGTTTTTCATGACAAAAAAAAATCGCTGTAGTTTTTCTCTCTTCAACACCCTTAGGGAGAAAGCTCCGCTGTACTATTTAAATACTTAAACAGGAAATTGTCCAACATTTCGTTTGACTAAATAATGGGGAACCAATCCCCCTACTTATTTCAAAACATCTTGTAGATGCTGTAAGTATATTGAATATGTTAGGCAATACTAAGTTCTGTAGATAAACTGCAGAAGATCAGCCAGGCTTTCTAGGTCTAATAGTTTAACAATAGAGCCCAAAACAACTCTCCATCATCCGCTGACTTGAATTAGGCTGCTGAGATCAGGAAACCTTGGTGGTGGTAGGGGGAACAGGAGTAGAATTGGGTGCAAACTTCAGTTCTGGTACCGTACTGAAAATAATCCTCAGGCTAAGCTAGTGCTCAGAGGGGCCACGTTCTATAATTGTGTCCATCCTCCAGGAAACACCATTTTGCTGCTGCCTCTGGTTGGTGGACCTCAGGTTTCTAGTGAAAAACAAGTTGATCCTTCAAACCTAAAGTTTGCCTGCCTCTGCCACAGATGACCAGAGCTGTGAAGCCTGTTCAGAAGTGCATTTAGGGCAGTGCAACTGGTTCCCCAACCCAACTGACATAGTGAATTGAGCAGAACGGTAGGTGAGAGGCAGATGTGTGTGGATTCTGGTGTTGCTGAAATTTGAAAGGCCCAAATCCAGCCCTGTGAGGCTTCAGGGAATTGACTTTCTCCTCCTGTGGCAGTAAGATAAGAAGATCAAAGAAAGCAACGTCTTAACAGTTAGGAACTTTAATCATGACAGTGGGAGAACAAAGAACACATCTCCTAGACATGGTGGGCGCTCCCAATTAAGGATCCAATCTCCTTACGTCTCTATTAATCTACATCACTCCTACGTTTTATAATCTGAGCTTGTACCCTGTATGCTTTCTGTTCTGAGACTTCCTGAGCTCTTCTTGACCTTGGGCTGAGCAGAGGAATGCTGTCCAGAGACCATGAATCTGTTAACCCTCTCTCTTCCAGTGTTTCTCCTCCTAGTTGTTCCAGTATTCCCCAGCTTCTGCCTTCTGAACTATGTCCCTCTGCAAACCACTGTTCCAAATCTATACTGTCCTCCTGCTTCTGGGAAGATTCAGGAGCGGGAGCAGGGGGAGGGGGTGGCTCCCACCATTCCTCCTCAGTGCAGCCCTCCTCAGCACGGTACCTGACAACCCCTGAGGCTGTTGTAAATTGACACAACTTCAATGTTAAGAAGACCATTTGAGGGCTGACCCTAAGACTGCTATGGGGGCTACCTCGACTAAGTGGATTAAAGGATCTCAAACAGTAGGAAAGCTCCGCTGCTACTCAAGGGAAATAGAAGCATCATAACTGGTGGTTCCTCTTGTGAGATGTAGCAGGCACTATCGGAAACAAGTGCTGGGCTATGAATAAGATACTGCCTGTGGTTTGTGGTGACTCATCTCCCTCAGCTTCCTTTGAAAAATGCCATCAGCAATAAAATATGTACTCTGGGGCTGGGGAAGATCTCTTGCATTGCTTTCCTATCAACCAAATGAGCCCTTCTTTGTTTTGTTAAATGCCGTAAAAAGAAAACAAGCAACTGTATATACAAATTCACCCCAGTGGATAGAATGTGTGGAAGGTGGAAAGATCTCTCACATATGTCTCTGACCTGATATTGCTATTGCAATGGTATGTGCACACCCACCTCCAGTCATTTCAGCTGCAGACAGGGAAATTGTGCGATAGATGTCACATAACCACAGCAGTGCTTGCAGCAAGGAAATGCAATGTTAAGCAATTTCAGAGAAAGTTCTCTTCCTATCAGCAGGGCCAGGGTTTTTTTATAATTTGAGGATGCTGCTCAGCTTGGAGACTATCCTGAAAACATCTCTTCTTTAAATGTATTTTATTTATTTCCTTATATTTATATCGTCCTCATCATTTGTTTTATTTAATATACCACTTTTGGCCCAAAAGTTCCCAAAGTGGTGGACAGATTGCTACAAAATACAAATGCAATTATTTTTATGTACAAAGATACATAAAAATCAATGAAAATATACAATATCTCCTACCTGCCTTCAAACATGGAACCTTTATAACCTTTGACAAAAGCATTATCAAAGCCCCATAAATTTTTCTGGGATCTCTTGGTTGGATGACCTCCCATTTCTTGTTGGGAGGTACATTCCAGGCAGTGGACTGTGGTTCACCAATGCTCCAAGAAACTGGTGCAATGGAATTGGGGTTACTTCAACAGCAGAGTCCTTTGGTGCTGGAAGTCATGGACATAGCCAGGATTTTGTTAGGGGAGGGGGCTTTTTTTTAGGGGATCCAGAAAAGTAGTTGAGCTACACCAGGCATAGGCAAACTCAGCCCTCCAGATGTTTTGGGACCACAACTCCCATCATCCCTGACCACTGGTCCTGTTAGCTAGGGATGGTGGGAGTTGTAGTCCCAAAACAGCTGGAGGGCTGAGTTTGCCTATGCCTGAGCTATGCCCATGCTGGAAGTGGAATCAAAATGCAGGTTGTTGAGCATTGCTCTTTCCCATGATTTTCCCCTATCTTTCTTTTAACGTTTTTTCACTCAAAAAAACTCACAGTTTGCAAAAGGTATGCAGATTCTGGTTGGTGGTTGCAGGTTTAGAAATCTTAGTTGTTTATTTCCCTCTGACTTTTAAATTCATTTTTCACCTGTGCCTAAAGATAGTGTGGCTTCGTGCAAGGTTTACTCCTTTTATTTCCACCTTGAAACTATAGACCGATCCATCATAAATTATTCCAATATGCCATGGTAGCAGCTAGGGTTCTTGTAGCCCAAAAATGGAAGTCATCGGCAATCCCAACAGTTATGGAATGGCAGGCTAAATTTTTCGAATATACGGAATTAGTGAAAATGACATATAAAATCCGGCACCAAAAAGGGGCAAAGTTTGTAGAAGAATGGGGTAAATTTGTAACATATATAGGAATTAACTGTAGAAGTTTAAGAACTACAGCAGGGTTAATATAATTCTTGTGACACATATAGAAATGTAGAAGAAACTGTAAGAGAAGATGTATATTAAGAAAACCGCAACTGGGAAGGAAGGAAGTCGAGGCGTGATTTTATGCAATGTAAATGAGATAACACTAAGAATGATTGTAAAGACTGTTTTATTTTGTTTTTTGGAAAAAGTCAATAAAAAGCATTAAAAAAAAAAGAAACTATAGACCAGTCCACACCATACATTTAAAGTACATACAACACACATTTAAATCACTTGACTTCCCCCAAAGAATCATGGGAAGTGTAATTTGTTGGGTGGGCTGGAAATTATAGCTCTGTGAGGGGATTTAAATGTGAGTTTGTTGTGCTTTAAATGTATCTTGTGGATCTGACGTTATAATACCAATGGAACAGCACAGGAACATATACTGAGGAAATTTCTTACTATTTATAGGCAACCTCTAGTGGTGAACAGATGGTTGGGAAATGTAGTTCTTTGTTATCATT